AAAATTCCATATATATTCTCATATATATATATATATATATATATATATATATATATATATATATATCACAAATAATGAGAATTTCTCATCATCTACAAAACCGTAATTCCTGTGGCAGATGGAATTGAGTGCAAGTCCCGTGAATGAAGGAATCAAAGATTTCATTGTAGAAATTAGAAGCAGACGCGTCTCAGTCTAGTATTTTCTGAGAGCAGCGCTTTCTGTGGGCAGTGGCAGGCTGGAAGGTCATCTTGGTTGAAAGGAATTTTTGTGCCTCGTTGCTAAACCTGGTGTGACTTTTGAATGCAGATGACTGTGGAAATAATGTTTCTGTGGTTGAAACTTCATGAATTTCAGCATTCCGTTTGCCCTCCCTGCCAATGGCCTGTCTGCCTCACCATCGCTTCCCCACGGTACTCAGTTTTGGTTTGAAAAGGCCATTTGCTTGCGGGGAAGTTGATTCTCCCTCCAGATCTAGAGGTGAATTTGTTCCTGCCTTTTGATGGGGCGTTGTGACCCATGATGTTAATTAAGTATTCTTGTTTGCCACCTACCACATGCTGGCTGATGTAGCCCCTCTAAGAGATGCCGGTTCAGATGGGACTGATTTCAGGATATCAGGAAGAAACTGGGTCCTAGATGACACTGTGTGTTCCTCCATCAGACCCACATAAGACAACGGCTTTATAAATCTCCTTAAATTATTTAATGAGTCACGTTTCCTAACAATAGTGAGATTTATCTCGAACTTGCCATATGCCTTACAGTACCCCATAGCACATGGACTGTTCCGAAAGGTGATAGCACTTCCCCACGGTCATACAGCTGGTGAGGAGCTGGTGAGTTAGGAAACAGGGAACAAAGAATCCAGCAGTTGGCTCCACCGTTCAGGTTTCAGTTGGGTATTTTTTGGCACTTGCAATTTAGCAAATCCAAGTTGACATTACCACAAGTTGTGGAGACTTTAAAAAAAAAAAAAACTATTCTCTTGATAGTGTTGGGGAATAGTATTCTCATTGTTTGCTCATTATGTTTAGAGGAAAAGAAAAGATGTGCCCATTTTGTCTATAACCCTTGTAGAAGATGTTCAAAAAGCTGTGGTCAGTTCTTCATACCACTGAGGAAAGAAAGGATTTATTTGTTTGCTTGCTTGCTTGCTTGCTTATTGGTTGGCGTTTGAGACAGGACCTCACTCTGTGATTTACTAAGGAATTTCTTTGCTTCTTTGGCAAGTAAGCCTCACTGGGTTCCCAGGACAGACATAGAGCTACTCCAGGTTAATACAGACCTGTCCTGGAGACAAATCGTCTTCCCCGACCCGAGCGGAAGCAGCAGCTGCTCACCACTCGGGGATGAGAGTTCAGGCTTTCTAGACCAGCACCTGCATTTTCTAAGGAGCAGGAAGGACGGTGTTCGTTCTCTTGAAGAAACTGACAGATGAGACAGGATGCGAGGGGGGATAATCCTGGGCAGAGGGAACAGCATGGTCAGAAGCAAGAGAAAACCCGTGAAATGAGTTGCAGTGACCCAAAATGTGAGTGACAGGGATCCCAGTCCCTTGACAGTGCTGAGCCATTACAGAATATGAGTGGGTGTGTTAGCCGTGATCAGGGGCGTGTTTATTAACACAGTCGCATGGGAGGGTGTGGTTAAGGAGTAATACAGTCCAAGAACTCGGGAATCCGGGTGAGAACAGCAGATAATCGGGGAGCAGCTCGTCAAAGGGGTGAACGGCAGAGGAGTGTTATTTTTCCTTTCTGAGATTATTTTTCAATGTTTATATATGGCAGTCAGATCTTTCAAGCTTTGAAGATCACTTTGTTATTTACCCCCTCCCCTCAGTCTTTGTGTTTGGAAAGATTATCTATCAAAACAAATTAGGTCGTTCGTTTTCACTTTATCGCCGTGGCATGTGAAACTGTGTTCTCCCAGTAAGTATTCCGATGGTAAGAGTGCTGATTAACTGAATGATACTTCATTTTCTCTGGGGTATGACCAGGGTGAATATGACATTTCCATCAGGGTTTTAGAAGGGGGGGGGCGGTCACTCTGGCTCCTCTTATGGACTCCGGGAACAAAGCCCTTCCAATCTCTGATTTATAGTATGATGCTTGTTCCTCCTCACCCCAGAGAACAGGCATCCAAGTCATGCTTCCAAGGACTGTGCTGTTAGTCTCTAGGGTAAGAAAAGTCATGTCACTTCCCCAAGTACCACCGCCATCTTAGCCTTTGCTTAACCTTCTCACTCAAGTGAGTGTGAACGTTACAGAAAATAACGATGGTAGAGGGCAGAGCTTGGGAGCAGAAGTCGAAATAGCAACAGTTGGGTGCAAAAGCATCAGGGTAGCTAGAGCAGGCGACTAGTTGGTGACGTCATCCTGACGAGTGTGCTGTCTCATGGGATAGCATCACTTAGCATTCAACTGGAATGTCATAGTGTTTCTGTTCTTTCTACTGTGTTAACTTGGACTCCTCACAGATTTTCAGCTCCGATGGGCAGAATTTAGCAGGGGTTTGAAGGATGACAAGTGCACACACGAGCTCTCACATGTCATCTCTAACATGAAGTCATAAACCAGAATGCAGGGGAGGGAAGCTTTATGAGCAGCTGTCAACATAATACTCCAGAGGTTTTAAAGTTTCAGACTTTCACATTAGGAACATTTGCTGGTGAGTCAGGTGTCCAAAAATGTAAAACCTCTAGAATCTGAAACACTCTGGTCCCAAGAATTTCAAATACAGAAACACTCTGGTTCCAAGAATTTCAAATACAGAAATACTCTGGTTCCAAGAATCTCAAATACAAAATATGCAACTGGCAATATGTTACCAAGTACTAGGGTTCGCAGGTGCCGGCTGGCGCTGGCTTACTTGTTGGTTTGGGTCCCTATATTACTCCAGTAGTTGCTCTAAAGGTATGCAGTGCCTGTGGATGGTTGGGGGTGTTTGTGGTTTGAAGGGATGTGTAGCAAATGGCTCTTACTGACAGCGTTCCGTTGCACTACAGTTTACAAGCACCTTGCTGGGGGTAGACTTCCCATTTCTTCCATCCTCACTTTCCATGGTAATACTTTGCTGGATGCTTTGGTTCAGAAGTGTATTATGCTTTGGTCAGAGTATTGCTCCAGATGTGGAATTGTTAAATTCGGTGATGTAAACATCTTGATGCCTGTCGTAGATGGAGCCATATAGGTTGTACTCACTGGCCATGTCAATCATAATGTAGGAGATTGTAACATTTATTGTATCACGGTATGACACGTTTGGTCCTTCAAATATTCTTCTCAAGTCAAAAACTAATCTACCTCTGTGCGTCCTTTGGTTAGCCAGCACACATTTGAACACACACGCACACAATCCCTTGCTGTTTTTCCAGAATTTCCAAGGGGTAACGGCCTAATACAATGTCACTATACCGTGTACAACCAGCAATACACTTCTCCTTTCCCAGGATAAACTTCCTGTAATTTAGCTGGCTATGAAAATGTGAAATGAAGAACTCTCTGTGGGATGATTTTTATTGCAGGGCTCAGTCGTAGCCATTGCTTCTCCCTACCTTGACACTGAATGTTTTATATTCATTATACCATTAAATCTATCCAGTATTTTAGGAGGCCAATATTATGGATTTTACGAATGAAGAATTGGCCTCGGATTAGGAAATGTGCACGTGGTCACACAGCTGGTATCCTGTGGAGTCTGGATTAAGATCTAGGTTTGCCCGATTGATGAGGTCAAGTCTGTCCTGCTCTTTTCTGTGCATGCTGTAAAACTCCTGGGGGCCAGCTCTGTGGAGATGTGCCCTCACCCTTCCCCCAGTGCTTATTTCTCTACTGGAGCAAGGTTGGAAAGTGCAGATGAGCAAACAGGAAACGGATGTTCTTCCAGAGCGTATGGCTGTGGGTGGTTAATAGCCACCAGGCACTCTCTTCTTACACACAGTAGTCACTACAGAACTAGCCATAGGGCTGGAGAGATGGTTCCCAAGTTAAGGGCACTTACCACTCTTTTAGAAGACCCAGGTTCGGTTCCTAACACCTACATGGCAGCTTACAAACCCCTGTAATTCCAATTCCAGGGGACTAGGAGCACTAGGCAAGCATGTCGTGTGTGTGTGTGTGTGTGTGTGTGTGTGTGTGCGCGTGCGTGTGCAGGTAAGCACTCATAGACATGAAAACTGGCCATAAACAAACTGTCCCACTTTCTTCTCTAGCTAAATGACAAAAGTAAGTTTTATTGTTCTCTAGTATCTCTTAGAAGCAAATGACCCTTTCTTAAAATCCTTTGTAAGATAAAATATCTAGGCAGATCACAAATCAAATGTCATATTTCCAGGTTGGTCTTCAAAGTAGAGAGCTCCTTGGGGTATGTGCACAGTAATGGGAGGATCTGTATGTGCAGCCTGATAATGCACAGCCACAAAGCTGAATTTCAAAGCTATTCTACAACTGCAGGCCATGTTCATTCAAGAAATTGACTTTAAAGAGTTCAGGCCAGATTTTTTTTTCCTGATTTTTAATTTAATTTTAAATTTAAACTTAATTTAAAATATTTAGTTTTAAATTAATTTACTTTTAAAAATACACATTTGGACCTGGAGAGATGGCCCAGGGGTTAAGAACTCCTTCAGAGGACCTGTGTTTAATTCCCAACACGCGTCAGGTGGTTCACAGCTGCCTATAGCTCCCGCTCCAGGGGATCCAACTCCCTCTTCTGGTCTTAGAGGGCCCTGCTTACACACACTTATGCGCATAGTTAAAAACAGATATTAAGCCGGGCGGTGGTGGTGCACGCCTTTAATCCCAGCACTTGGGAGGCAGAGCCAGGTGGATCTCTGTGAGTTCGAGGCCAGCCTGGGCTACCAAGTGAGCTCCAGGAAAGGCGCAAAGCTACGCAGAGAAACCCTGTCTCGAAAAACCAAAAAAAAAAAAAAACAGATATTAACATGTATTTAGTAAAAGCTTATTACTTAAAAAAAAATAGCTGGATGGTTAAAAAAAAAAAGCAGCCCATAATAATTCTATATGGAAACTTATAGAACATTGGTTCTTGACCATGGATAATTTTGCCCCCCGGTAAATTTTGGTAATGTCCATTAACATTTTGGGTTGTCACAGCTGAGAGAGAGAGGGATTTCTGGCAGTTAATGGGCAGAGGCGAGATGTAGCTAAACACATGTGATTCAGGATGAACCCCATTACAAAGACCGTTTGCCCCCCTCCCCCAATAGCAGTAGGACTGGGTTAGTTGACTTTCTCCTTGTGACGGAGTGCCTGCTGGGAGCACCTTGAAGGAGGGACGCTTTATTCCTGTTCACAGATCTAGAAGGCGCAGGCCGGCCGGCCCGCAGGGATGAAGTGCGTAGCAAGGCTCCGTGGCGTCGGGCGCCCGGCAGTGTCCTCTGTGGTGGTGCAGCAGAGAGAAACGGAAACAGCCCAGGATGGTTAGCCTCCACAGGCCTTTCCTAGGTCCTCCCCCGCCTGTAGGATCCATTGCACGTTCAGATCATGACACGTGCCAAGGCTGAGCAGTCTTCCGTGGGAGCCTCACTGGTCAGGGATGTTTGCTGTATGCAGACAGCCAGCAGTTGATGAACGGCAGTCCATGAGTCTGGCCTTGGGGATGTATAGTGGCCCCACTCTCAGATCTGCAAAGACAAGACCAGAAAAAGCAGAATTTGAAGTGGCTAAGTATTCATGTAGAGGTGATGTTTTGATACAAGAAACGGTTATCAAGCCAGGCTGTGGTGGCGCACGCCTTTAATCCCAGCGCTTGGGAGGCAGAGACAGGCAGATCTCTGTGAATTAGAGGCCAACCTGGGCTACAGATCAAGTTCAGGACAGCACAACAAAATCCTGTCTTCTCTTTTTTTTAATATTTTTATTTATGTGCATTGGTGTTTTGTCTACATGTATGTCTGTGTGAGGGTATCAGATCCCTTGGAAATGGAGTTACAGATAGGTGTGAGTTGCCATGTGGGTGCTGGGAATTGAACCCAGATCCTCTGGTAGATCAGCCCATGCTCTTAGCCACTGAGCTGGCTCTCCAGCCCCCAGAACCCTGACTAGAAAAACCAAAAAGAAGAAAAAGAAACAGATGTCTGCAAAAGTTGCTTTTCAGTGGTGCAAAGCATTCTAGCATGGCTTGTTCACACAGCCCACCATAGTTCCAGGGAAAAGGAAGACCTGTTACTTCCTGGGAACATGACAGAGGTGCTCTTTTCTTCCCTGTTCCACAGGGGCTTAGCAGCAGTGCCCAGCACACAGCAAGTGTGTAGCCAACGTTAGCCATCATCGGTATTGTTATTTCACCTGTGCCGAGCATCCAGCGAGCCTTGGCATTTACCTTCCTCTGTCTGGGAGTTCTTCCCTGAGACGGATGGATGGGTGGGTGGGTCGGAGGACATGACATCCTGCTCTTTATCCAGGTGTTTGCTCAAACATCAGCCCATCAGCAAGGGGTCCCATTGCCTGATTTAACACCCGTCCACACGTCATGGCCACGGCACTGTCACCCACTCTGGCCTACAGTATGTGCTCACTGCCTGTCTGTCATTTAGTAGGTGCTTCTCACATGTACTTTGTGTTGATGAAATAAATGAGCAGAACAGTGTGGAACTTGTTTTATGAAAGACATGTGATAGCATTTTAGGACAGTATACTTACACTCCTAATGCTGTGACCCTTTAATGTAGTTCCTCATGCTCTAGTGATCCCCAGCTGTAAAATTATATCCTTGCTACTTCATAACTATAATTTTACTACTGTTATGAATCATAATATAATGCCGGGCGGTGGTGGCGCACGCCTTTAATCCCAGCACTCAGGAGGCAGAGGCAGGCGGATCTCTGTGAGTTCAAGGCCAGCCTGGGCTACCAAGTGAGTTCCAGGAAAGGCGCAAAGCTACACAGAGAAAAAACCCTGTCTGGAAAAACCAAAAACAAAACAAAACAAAACAAAAATCCCAAATGAATCATAATGTAACTATCTGATATACAACCTCTGTGAAAGGGTCATTGAACCCCCAGATGGGTCGCAGCCCGTGGGTTGAGGACCACTGCTTTAGAATGACTTTCTAGTCACATAGTATAGCTCACGTATAGGCTATATCTCTGTACTTGAAGCTGGCACTCAACTGCACCTTCCTTGAGCTGGCTTGCCATTGCCACCCATGTATGTGCCCTTGGGAATCGGGACAGTGCTCAGGCTTCTTGACAGTGTCCCTGACCATGTCCGAGGGGACCGGCTGCCCATGCGGTCCTGCTGCTCATCGAGCAGAGAGCACATCGTCTGTGTGTGACCTTTGCCTTACGCATGGGAACCAGTTAAGGTGAAGGTAAGTAGGGTTCCCATAGTCCACTTTCCAAAATAGCATCCTTTGTTTTCATTGGATAATAAAGTGACCACACTGGCTGCTGCTGCGGTCTTTCCTAATCAGGTTTGCCTTTAAGACAAGGATCGTCTTCTTACATTCTAAGGAAGTAAATCCAGAAAGAGACTCCTTTTTGCCTCCATCCAAGCTGAAACCACACTGTGTGGGTAAAAACTTAAGGCTGGAGATTGTGGAATGTATCTTTTTTGTAAGTCTCTTTGGGGAAAGGGCTGGGGATCTGATCACTGTCAACACAGTCTTCTGGTTTGTCCATAAACTGGGACAAAAGGGTAATCCTCAGGGTAGCAATGTCCTCCTGGGGCTGAGTTGGGGCTCAGCATAGACCACAGAACAAGTAGCTGGTGATTTCTACCTGATTTCTGCAATTGGTATGAATTGGTATGAATTCTGTCTAGACTGTTTCCCAGGACAGTCCAGTTGAATTTTACACTGGTATGTGTTAGAGATAAGTTTTGGTTTGATTTGTGTTCACCTTTTTCGTGGAACTTTTAAATCAGCTTCAGTGCTGTCTTGGTATAGTGAAGGCTTAATTTAATCCCGTCTCTGTTCAGGGGGCTTGGGTTTGTCACCCTTGTGTTAAGTGAGGCCGTGACACTTCTAACTGTGACTGTCAATAAATGTGCTGCCGTCGTCTTTTTCCGGACTTTTGTACTGTATCCGAACCATTAAATAAGAATTGTACCCAAATGATAAATTTTAATGAGGCTGGATCCATCCTAAACCTCGGAACACCTCCCCCCCCCCCCCCAGTTTAACATTTAAATTCCAAAAAGTAGGTCAGTAGAAACATCCTGCTTTGGTTTAATTAAAAATGGAAACGCATAGGACTATCTCAATACGAAGTGCAGATTTAAATATGAGGAATTATAGTGGGATTCATGTCACTTAAGGGTTTGATCTAAGTAAGATATATTTAATCACAGCTTCTAATTTATGAAGTGGAGAGAAGCCTAAAGGAATATTCCAATAGATAGGGAAACTGGCCATGGAATTTAGTAGTATGATGGAGAGTCTCTCCAGAACCGTCTCTCTCCGTTTATATGGTATGCCTAAGGATATTGTTCTCCAGGACCTTAATAGCCATCTTTGGAGAGAGGAGTGTTCTGTGCACAGTGAGCGTGTGCAGTGTTCTCACTTCTCAGAGCCTTTAATACTTTCTGAAGTTTTAAGAGAGGGTCTAGTGGGAGGCTCTCTGTCCCCACAGTGACCCGTTTTAGGAGTTTTCGTAGTTTCGGTGTTTTTACCACAGTCTCCCTGTGTAGCCCCGGCTGGTCTGGCCCCAGTGTGCGGCCATCATCTCCGGCTTCTGCAGACCAAAATTGCCAGTGTGCACCGCCATACCTGACTTATGTTTGGCTCCATGATGAGATGGGGACTTGCTGTCTATAGAACTGCACGGGAATGTACAGTAGCCCAGGATGGCCTTGAACTTGAAATTCTCATGCTTTAGCGATGAGACTCCCAGCATGTACCTGGCTTGCTTTAGGGATTGTATACCTTTGAAAATGCTGAGAACATTTCCAGCAGTAGCGATGAGGGTGTCATTGTCTGGTGTGGGTCTGTTCTTCGGATGTCCTCCCAGCATGCCCCAGAGTTGGGTGGAATGCAGCACTATGCTAGGTTCCTTCCCTCCACATGTGCTCCACCGCAGGGTGTTGTCGTGAGCAGAGGTGTCACTGTGGCCTGGACACTGCTTTGTTTCCAGCCCCAAGTGTGAGTCATATGCAGCCAACATCCTCCTTCGAGCTGGTGCTTGGGCACCGTCGATAGAAAAGAACACTTTCTAGATGAGCGACTCCATTTGGGGAGTGGCTCCTGGAACTCAGAGACTGAGCATCCACTGTAGAGAGGCCGTGGCCTCCAGAGGTGTGCTGGAAACCAAGAGGAGGCAATCACCCCTTTCCTTTAAGGAAAACAGAAGGTCTGAGCGATGGATGGTCCCCTTCCTAAGAAGGAAATAACCACATACAAGATTAGCAGCCTAATTTTAGTTTCAAATAATTCTCTTGAAGATTGTATTTTTTATGTTTAAAAAAATCACTAGATCATATTTACTCCTGTTACCAGCTATGAATATAGTCTCTTAAATGAGCTATAAGGAGCAGATGGGTCAAGATTCTGTTTTGGAATTTAGTTTCGTATTCCCGGACTTGCTTTCTCGCATCCTGCAAATACAGCTGCCGGGGAGTAATGTAAATAACTGATGACGTAGAGACAGCTAGTCTTAACACTGCAGTTGAAGGATGTCCTGCCAGCAGCACCCTACGAATTACTCCTCAAGAGTAGGAAAAAATTCCCAGTGCTTTAAAATGATTCCGCAGGGTCTCACCAACACCAGGAGGCAGACGCCAGAAAGGAAGGGCGGAATTACTGAAATCCAGAGAGAAAAGTTTCAGTGCTTGCAAGCAAAGTTACACACTTCAAAACTCTGGGCGGGGATGGACAACTTAATGTCTAGTTAACTGACAAAACACGAGAGGTTTCTAAGACCTCTAGGTCTTTTATATGTGTGCATGGTTTGGTAATACAGCATTCCTCTTGCTGTATGTTATGTGATCAGTGAACTAATGAATTAAATTTTCATCAGCTAGTTAGAGAACCAGGAGAAAGCAGGACATAAAGACTAAGGAAGACTTCATAACCATGGGGAATGCTGTGGAGAAATCCATTCCAGTGGCTACTGAGGCTCCCGTGGGTGGTCCAGCAGCCAGGGCTTCCTTCGTAAAGCCAGCCGGTGCAATGGTGAAGGTCACGAGTGATCGGTCAGGAATGTGATAGAACACTCATCTGTGTTCCGTAGTCCCGGAAGCGAGGCTTTTGTTGATGCCGTTCTTGTAGTTCATTCCAGAACCCTGTCGTCTCCCTTGAGAGGCCGGGAGCTCCTCAGTCAGGATCCATCCATGGCCTTGAGCCTGTGGTGCTTGGTCGTCTGTGAATGCCCAGGCTCTCACCATGTCTGTTAGCTCGTGTCTGAGAATGGAGTGCGAAGGTGGTTGTTCAGGGGCAGAATCTGCGCCTTCTCGTGTACCGAGAGCAGCAGTCTTCGCCTGAAGCGCACCTTCCCTGTGCCTGACGAGTAGCGGTGTACCACTGGCCTGCCGCTGCTCTGACCAGACGTCCCCTTTCTCCACAGGTCTCCCCGTGGACTCCGTACGGCTATGAAACCCACACAGCGGGCCGCCACCATGCTTCTCCTGCCGGCCATAGGAGAATGAGGAGAAGTCGGCTCTGGAGTGCTGGGAGCGACTGCTGAGCACCCGGTGCCCCCAGCCTGCCCCCTGGAGAGCCCACAACACACGATGAACAGACTGACCTTCCATAACAACAGAGTCATGCAGGACCGTCGCAGCGTGTGCATCTTCCTCCCCAATGATGAGTCCCTGAACATCATCATAAACGTGAGTCGTCCCCTCTAGGAGAATTTCAGTGTGTGGTCCCCCTGCCAGACCACACCCACATTCATCATTAGAGAACGAACCAGAGATACGTGGCAGACTTACTACACTTCGGCATCCACACAGCCGTGAACAGCCTTATGGCTTCTGCTCCGCCCCCTTTGGCGGTGTCAGACTTGGCGTAAAATTAGGAGTTTGGGTACTACACTAAAAAAAAAAAAAAAAGGTTTCTGTTTTTAAACTTTATTGAATAATTTTTCAGTTGAATTAATTTATTGGATGTCTCTGTTTTCTTATCTTTCTGTGTGGTCAGCCTTGTGTACATTTGGGATCATTTGGAATACCTTCCCCATTTCCACTCGGGAAGGTTTCTGATTCACAGTGCTCAGCAGCAGCACCCCCTCAGATCCCATCATGGGACTCAATTACTTCTTTGAATTCTTCTGCCCTTAGTTTCTGCATTAGGAAGGATTCATTTTGCTATTTGTACTGTATGGAAGCCTCTCTCTCAGCTAAAAATTAATGTAACAAGATGGGAATCGGAGACTCTAGATGGAGTAAGAAAAGCAAACTTGAACATTTTTTGAGCCTTGGTTTCTGCCTCTAAAATTGCTTGGCTCCCTGAATAAATTTTCTGTTTAAGTCTGTCCATTTGTGTCCATTTCAAATGCTCGGAGTTGTCATCTGTGTAGGTAAAATGGTAGCCGTGGCTGAGATTCTCCTACGCATCTTGACTGGTTTAATCAGTCAGCCCAAGCAGTGTCCAAAGTGAGCTGAAGGGCAGTGGATAAGCTAGGCTGTTAACCTCTGGCTCTCGAGTCAGAATCAGGTATCTAGTTAACCAAGACATTGAGGGCTGGGATCCTGTTTGCAGCTTTTTTTTTCCTTCTGACAGGTAAATTGTATTTTTACACATCGCAGAGCATAGGCGTCTCTAAGTGCAGCCCAGTTATACATATACTGTTAGTATATGTGTCCATGTAGCCATTGCCCAGCTGAAGATAATGATTTTCATCTCCTCAGAAAGACCCTTTGTGACACTTTTTCAGGGTAGACCTATAAACACACACATTAATCAGAGTCGATATGTGAATCATAGACCACCCCAGTGAGTAGAACCCTTGGTGGTATATAACACACATGTCCTTTACATGTTTTAAGCACATGCAATCCAGGACATAGAGCTTAAGCACTGAGGAAACTCGTCTGCCCTTTTCTGTCATTTTACCCAGGAAAGTGTGCGTGCATATTGCTGAGTGTGTGGCCGATCTGTCATCGTGAGAAATGCTGAGAGGTGGCAACCATTTCTAAAGGAATTTATTGGTACTGGAGTCTCATCTGAGGGAAATAATTTTGGAGAGCAGACTAAAAGACTCCAGGCAGGCGGGTTCATGGCATGTTTTTATGGTGTCATACCTAGCATTTTTAAAATGCTCTTCCTACTGTCAGCCTTCATACTTTCTCTTTCACCTAATTGCAGTCTGATAGAATTGAGCAAAAATTGCCTTAATGTGGTGCTGTGGGTTAGTTTTCCCACATATATGCTGCTATGTAGATCCGTGGCTTTAAAGTCTACTAAAATTATTCGGGGAGGGGCTTGGTGAACGAATGCCCAGCTCTTTGGGCTTCCCCCATGGAGATGCTGGTGTAGGTCTAGGGCAGGACACCAGAATTTTGATTTAGCAAAATTCCTCCGCAGGGACCAGAGATGGATGAACCCCTGAGGCAGACAGGAAAGCCTGTGGCCCGGCCCCACTCTGGAGAGCCCCGCTCACTTACTGGTCTTTGGGGCCTGTGTTGGTGATGGAGGCTGCTACCATCAGGGGGCCTGGTCTGAACTGTCTACCCCGTTACTTTCTTTACAGCTTTGGGCACGCTGCTTCAGTCTGTTGTTCATTATTTGGTTTGTTTTCCCCATATGAAGAGGGGCTGTTCTATGTATGCCTCGTGTGGGAACCCGGCACGGCTTTAAAGACACTCCGTGTGTGGTGGTCCCTTCCTTGGTGGTGTCTGTCCTGGGAGTTGCTCAGTAAGTCAGTCATTGTGGAGTAGGCCTTCACTTGGCTAGTTCCTTGAGCTGTTCGCTCCATTTCATTAGGGGCTCTGCCACGGAAAGCAGAACGGAGCGTCTGGGCGCCATGCTGCCCCAGAAGACTTCTTACCCCAGGGAACATTGGTCCTCTGCCATGCCGAGGCTCCTCTCCAGCAAGCCCTGGGACCTCAGGAAGGAAGGGGTTAAGTAGCCTGGAGGCTTGCCCACTGCTCGAAAAAGAATCCAGAGCTGCCCAGAACCCCTTTTCCCTACAACTGAGAACGGTGGTTTTGATGTTTGCAGAGTTGGGGGTAACAAATTAATTGTAACAAAAAATGTTTGTCAGTGGCCTCCTGGTCGGGGTCTCTCTCTCTCTCTCTCTCTCTCTCTCTCTCTCTCTCTCTCTCTCTCTCTCTGTCTCTCTCTCTGTCTCTCTCTCTCTCACACACACACACACACACACACACACACACACACACACACACACACACACACACACCAGCCAGCAGTGAGGAGTGTGGTTCGTATACACTTTTTTTTTTTTTTAGGAAGTTTTTCCCCTGACAGGTACAGCTGACTTCATATTGATTTTTCTGCATGTGGAATCAATTTAATGTTTTAGTCATTTTGAATCTCCATGAATTGTATTGATAGGGGCTATTTTTAATTACTCTTAATCATCAGATATAAAATATGGAAACTTAAAAATAAAATTATGGTGACTGTAAGAGGCAGAAAGTCCTTGAGTGGCAGAAATGGCAGAGCCAGGAGCTTGCACCTCCCTTCCTGTGGCAAAGTGAAGAATTCTTTCCCTCCAGAGAATATTTCGAACATCCCTGCCCAGTAACAAGTCATTGGCACAGCAAGGATCAAACCCCCTTCCACTTCAGAGTTCCCCAGAGAGGGTATTTTTAGATAAAGCCCACGCCGCCGTTGAGAAGGCAGTACTTTGTGAAGTTCCCATTGCCCCTGAAGATGAGGGGAATTAAGAAATTTCACAATCAGCCATGTGGCTTTGAAGACTCGACTCTGCAAATACCCAACGCCACTGCTTGTTTTCACAGCAGGTAACTTTGAAGCCACATCCTTATTTAATTACAGTTTTTAAACAAGAACACTATACTTACTTGATGATTGTTAAAGAGCTTGAGCAGAAGGTTCCAGATACTTGATTTAAGTAGCGGAACAGTAATAATTAGATGGGATGCCTGGAAGAGAGGCCCGGCCTTATTTAGTCAAGAGTCACCACAGATTTTATTTTACAAACGTTTAGTTTGTAGTTTGGAATCCAGCTGCTCGTTCCATTTCGTCCTGGCTGCTCCATATCCAACCAGGCCAACTTAAAGTTAAAACACAGTCCAGCTCAGGGTTAAAAGTGCCCCAGAGCAGTGTGACGGTTTAAGTAAGTCTCCAGTTTGTGGAGCTTAGCTAGTGTCAGAGTCGTCTGTAAATGTGAGCCTTTCTGCTCCTCGCTCTCAGTCTGTTGAAGCCTCTTTGCCACAGTATAGCTGTGACATGAAATACAGACCCAGTGCTGACAGTGAATGCTGGCAATAAATAGAAGTTCTCCAGGACACAAATCAAACCAGCACAAGGGGGACCGGGGTGGGTGATGGTTTCCCAGCAGCCCGTGGGTCTTCCCAGTGGTGAGGTGAGCTTGCATGGATACGTGGTTAGGAAATTACTGGATGGCAGGACTGGAGAGCTGGCTGCTCCTCCAAGGACCCGCATTCAGGTCTCAGCACCCACCTGAGAGCTCATCCGGGGGACCCGATGCTCTTCTCTGGCCTCTGAGGGCACTGCACACATGGGATGCACAGACATACGTTCAGGCCAAACACCCGTACACATAAAATTAATGGTTGCAGTGTTGCTGGATGGCGCATTGACAAGCCAGAGTGTCCATGGGGGTCACTGAGGGAGACGTCTCTGGCAGACCACAGCACCTGGGGGGACCCCAGCACAGGTGCTCAGGAGCTCCCTGGGACTTGGGTCCTGAATGTAAACGGACGCTGCCTGTGACAGTTCATCACTGGGACAGGGTCTAGAATCACCCAAGCAACTTCGCAACATCCCCGTGAGGGATTGTCTGGATTAGGTTCGTTGACACAGGAAGACACATCCTAAATGTGGGTGACCACCCCATGGACTAGGATCCCAGACTGAATACAACTGACAAAGTGAGCAGCAGCATTCATTTCTCTGCTGACTATGGATTGATTCTACGGGACCCTGCCTGAAGCTCCTGCCCCCACCCCCACCGCCCTACTACCCCGCACCCTGCCTTCCCACAACAATGGACTGTACATCCTTGTACTATAGGCCGGAATGAGCTCCTTAACTGCTTCCTGTCAAGTATTTTGTCATAGCAGCAAGAAGTAACTAATAGCCACCACAGCTTTCTTAATTCCTGGTACTTGGAAGAACTAAACGGGTCCCTCTGGCCTTGAGTGTCTTCTGCTCTTTCCAGTGGGATTTTGCATGTTTTCATTTTCTTCATTTTAGTGCTGTATTAAAATATGATAAAATCATTAACTCAGAGTTATGCAAATTGTAATCACTAAAATTACAGTTGGTGCCATCGTTGACTGTATGCAGATAAAATTCACAAAGGTTGTGTTGCACGTGTTTTGACCTGTGTGTTACTGTTAATACGTGTAAGTTTGGAGGGTCTGCCTTTGCTACTGCTCGCTTGTGCGCCTGAGCAGTTTGGTTTTCCTTCTGTGAACTGAAGAGATGGAGCTGGGCGGTCTCTCAGGGATTCTGGCTTCAGCGAGGCCGACTCTGCAGGCCCACACTCCTCCCACCTGGCATCTCAGTCATAATTGAGAAAGCCTCAAAACTGTATCCGGGGGCTGGGCATTTGGCTCAGAGGGTAAGAGTGCTTTCTGAGCAAACTTGGGGACCTGAGTTCGAGTCCCCAGAACCCAGTTAAAAGCCTGACACAGCAGCAGAAGCATCTGTTACAGTGTGTCTGCAGGGAGGCGGGAGGTGGGGAGGTGCATGCAAAGAACCAGCACCAAAGAGACCCCTCAACCAAGGTGGAAGGTGAGGACTGACCCAGGGTTGTCCCCTCCCCTACATGCACACTCCACAAATACAGATGCATGGACACAGACACAAAGGAGCAAGCGATGTCTTCTCAATAATAGCTCATCTCCAGAATGTTCGTGTGGTTATTGAAGTATACTGAGAGTCAAAGGGAAAAATAAGTAATAACAGCGATTGATAAATAAATAAAATCTGGGCAGTCTGTCACTGAGCAGTGGGTGGAATATTTTGCTTAGACCCTTAAGAAGAAAACTTTCCTTGAACAAAGACCCTAAGGAGACAGCTCATATGGGAAGATACACAGATGGTCCACGCAGGTGCTCAGTCTCAGTAAGCATCAAGAAAACGTAAAGCGAAAGAACATTGAGTGCCACCTTACAGCTGTTAAAATGGCTGTCACCAAACAGGTTGACAAGAGTCCTGAGGACGTGGAGAAGAGGAGGAGCACTTGTCATCTGTGATCAGAATGTAAAGCAGTGTGGGCCCTTGTGGCAAACAGCATGTGGTTCCTCCAAACATTAAATATAGTATGAGGGTCAGGAGAGATGGCTGAGCGGTTAAGAGCACTGGCTGCTCTTCCAGAGGACCTGAGTTCAATTCCCAGCATCCACATGGCAGCTCACACCTGTCTGTAACTCCAGTTCCAGGGGATCCAACAGCCTCACACTCATATACATGCAGGCAAAACACCGGCATTGCACATAAAATTGTAATAACTACAGCATTAGTATGTGATCTCGGAGGTCCACTCCTGGGTAGCCCGAGACAATGAAATCCCGGTGGTGGATGTGCGTGCACCTGCTCTCTTGCAGCCTTGTTCACAGCAGTCAGCTGTGCCTACTGGTGACTGAAGGCAAGGTGTGGTGCGTCCACACATGCTGGAGTCATAAGCCACACAGGAGGGAGAGCGTGTCATTTGCAACAACATGGGTCAATCCTGACAGCATTATACTAAACGACATAAGCTAGGCACCGGCCGCGTGGTCTCACTTGTGTGGAATCCAAAAAAAAAGGCTACCTCAGAGAAGCAGAGTACAAGGTAGTTACCGTAGTTCCTGGGGCCTGAAGAAGGAAGGGCAGGGAGATGTTGGCCAAAGGATCCAAAGTTTCAGCTGTAGGATGAGTAAATTCAGGAAACCTGTGAATGGCAACCGTAACCAGTCATGTGCTTATACCTGAACTTATCGTTGGCCAGGAGTAGATTTTAAGTGTTCTTACCACACACAAAAATAGTATGTATGTGAGGCAATGTATTGGTTAATCCGTTTTGTAGGGCATACACTATAACAAAACATTGAATACTATGTAAAAACGTATCATTAAAGTAAGAAAAGGTGTTCAAAGAAAGAACATACTTGCCACATAAATATCTTCAGTGGAGTAAGCTCTTCTGGGGACCTTCTGAGGAGCCCATTTTTCATGCAGGATCTGAGAACCTGACCATGTGTCGTAAGATTTATGAGTCTTATGCAAGATTGGATTGGTACTCTGTTAGCATGCTGTGGGTCATGATTATGTTGTGATACTCATCGGAACATAGCCACAGGTTGCATTGATAAGCTACTGGTGGTTTTGCTGATGTTCAAATGTCCTGAGAAGGTGCATATTTACAGAGTTTTAAAGTGGCTGATTTGGGGTTCACTGTGTAAGCTGAATTGAATTGTCTTAAGTGTCCTTTTTTCCTTCCTGCAGGTTAAAATTCTGTGTCACCAGTTGCTGGTCCAGGTGTGTGACCTGCTCAGGTTAAAGGAGTGTCACCTTTTTGGTCTCAGTGTTATACAAAGTAAGTCTCAGTCTGTTCTCTGCTATGTTTAGTCAACTGTCCTTGAGAAAATGACATTTTAAAGCCTAGAGCCATCATGCTATGTAAACTGATTGTTTACATGCCCATCAGCTAATCATCATTCTTAGTCTAGTATTTATTTATTTTCCAATATCAGCATGATGTATTTTTTACATGATTTAGGGTTTTTATTATTAATTTATTAATATTGATTCCTTTTTAGGAGTCTAGATATTTATGCATCTGTTCCCCATTTTTGTTTTATTTAATTTATTTATTTAATGAACCAAGTTTGATTTTTGTTTTGTTTTCTTATACACAGAGACCAGCTGTAGTTGGGAGTTAAGCAGATGTTTTTGTCATTTATCATTACAATCTATAATACTATAAGTGATAATGGCTTGTGACATTATAAAAATTTTGAACACAGTAAAGCTGCCTTTCTTCTGTTTAGTTCTCTTGTGGTTCGCAGTATAGCAGTGACGGATTCATTAAATTTGATTTTTCTGTTTTTCTTCATGCTCTTCTTTCTATTCAGACTGTGTGGCTTTGAAATGCAGTCATTTTCTTCCTCCATTAGATGAGAAATTTGCAAAGAAGGATCTCATAGACGGGTTGCCTTCTCATGTCCCTTACTTAGCACTAGACTCCTGGGACTATCTGCATCCATTTAATAAAAGCTGTCTTATGTCAATTTGTAGCTGGAAATTTCTCTGCCTTAGTTTTCTAAACCCCAGAGTCTTTTAGCATCTCTGCTCACCTTTTTCAAGGAGGTTTACTTGTATTTAATTATGCTTTCTATGTTTATGTGGATAATCTTTGACTTGAATCAGTTTAAACCTAAAGGATTATGATAGCTTGAGAATCTGGTCTGTGCTGTGAATATTCGCATCTGCCAAGTTAGAAAATGTATTATGGTCAACAGATCAAGCCAGCTCCCTCTCCTCCAAAGTGGGAGCTGTGTTCAGTTGTCTGGGAACGTGGGATGGAGAATGAGAGGCCTGCAAACCAGCTCCCTGCTCTGTTTCTGCAGTAGTCAGTGCAGTGACAACAGGAAGAATCCATCATTGCATTTGTGCGGACCTCTTATCTAAACAGCGGTTCTCAACCTTCCTGATGCTGTGACCCTTATTGACCCTCAACCAGAAAATGATTTGGTTGCTACTTCCTACCTGTAATTTTGCTACTGCTATGAATTGTAATGTAAATATCCAATGGTCTTAGGTGACCCCTGTGAAAGGGTCTTTGGACCCCCAAAGGGGTCGCAGCCCATGAGTTGAGAACCACTGGTCTAGAAGCTGTAAGGTGCCTTACAGACTCCAAGTGGCTCTTGCTGCGGTCTCCTCGAAGCTAATTCTTCCTTGTGCACCTGCAGCCAGACTGTTGATCTCGGTGGTTCAACAAGTCAATCCAAGAAAACCAGTTCCTAGCTTCCTTCAGTTTTCAAGTTGAGCTTTGGAGATGCTCTGTAAAAGAGAGTGGACAGTATGGTGAAGGAACGTTGGGACAGCAGTCAGGTGACCTGGTTCTGATTCCGGTTCTACCGCTGGCCAGCAGTGAACCTTCAGACATGCCACTAGACTTCCGTCACTGTCAAGTTGTCTCACGTCAGATACACTGCTGTCCACACCAGCTTTGCAGGATGAATGTGTGCTTGAGAATTGGTCTCACGGCTTTGGTTGGTTGGGTGGTTTTGGATTCCCAGCACAGTTGAGCAGGAAGTATAGAGAGTTCCAGAAAGCCGTGCACATGCAGGCACAGCTTCCCCAGTGTCGGCCCCAACACGGGTGGAGCATGCGTGGTAATCAGTGAGCCTACAGGGATCCTCTATCCCCCAGAGTCCATCATCTGCACTTGGGTTCACTCCTGGCGATTGTATCCCACGGCTTTGGACAGATGTGTGGCATGTGTCCACCATCAGAGTGTGCAGAATGGCCTTACCGCCCCGAAGCCACTCCACCATTTCAGAAATTGTCCTTGTCAGTTGAATAGTTGGAAAGGATGTGATTCTCCAGCGCTTCAAACACTGGCATTTTAACACTCTTCTCAGAAACCACCTAAACGCCAGGAATCTCGGTGTCATCCCAATTCTGCAGCTTTTGTTTTGAAATAATTTCAAACTTCCAGCAGTGTAAGAAGACAGTAAGGCTGTGCGGTGGTGGCGCACACCTTTAATCCCATTACTCAGAGCACACAGAGGCAGGCTCTGTGAGTTCGAGGCCAGCCTGGTCTACAAAGTGAGTTTCAGGACAGCCAGGGCTACACAGAACAACCTGTCTCGACCCCCCCCCCCCCAAAAGGAGAAGACAATAAGGATTTTCTCATTGCTAATGTCAGAGCACATGTCTTCTTCCATCTGTGATCTACCTGCCTGTTTCCCGTCTTTCCAAACTTGAGGGAAATTTCTTAGAGACGAGCAATATCTCTTAGATAACGATGGTGGGAACTTCACTATCAGGAAGTTGACACTCTAATGCTAAGTAGGTTTTAGCCGAGGAGCCTGGCAATACCCATCATAGTCCGAGGTAGCCTGGCTCAGGTCTGTTCTTCAGCCATTCTGTTACCCCGCCCTGCGATCTTTGCTTTTTTTTTTTTTTTTTTTAAACAAGAAGAGTCAAGTTACTTTGTGTAATGTCTTTTCACTTGGATTTGGTTTATGTTTCCTCGTGATTAATTCAGGGTATGCATGACTTGGGTGGGGATATCAGATAGATGATAATGAGCCCTTCTCAATGTACAGTATCATGAGACATACAATAGTTACTTATGACTTTATGGTGATGTTAGCGTTTGGCAAAAGTTCCTTGCCATACATTCCTTGATAGTCAGGAGCTCATATTAACGCTTCTGGTTATAATCTAGTTCCATGGTTTGTTCCGCCCCTCTTCTTCCCATTGTTTTCAACAACTTTCTCCAGCAGTGAGAGACCTGTCTCGTTTGCTCAGGCATTTAGGGGTGTGTTCGAGAGGGTGTTACAGAGGCACAGATTCCAGGACGGGGTATGGAAGGGGACACAGAGCTGCTCTCGTTGGGCCTACCAGTTTCCACGTGTCCAGATCCCCCAGTTCTTAGGCTAGACAGCTCTGGCCACACTGTCGAGTGAGAGACACATAAAGGTCACTGTAAAATACGCCTGTGCTCATGAATTCACAGACACCGTGGCAGCATCCACGGGGCCTGCACAGGCCTAAGCCAGGTGGAGTCCCAGGCCCGAGAGGGGGGAAATAGTTCCCATCCCTAACCCAGAAGCTATCTCTAATTACCAACCTCTCACAAAGGAAAACTTAGTTTTCTCCAACTGTGGAGTCTCACTGGGAACACAAACCACTTAAGTGCAGGCCCCATGCCCAGAAGTACATGGCCAACACAAAACAAACTCAATGGTATTTTTGAACACATTTTGTCTCATATTGCTTTGGGCATTTTTTTTTTTAATCTTAACTGGTCTTTTGCTTATATATTATAGTTTCTGATTTTGTGTTTTTATTTGTATCTGTTTTTGTTTCTTTTTGATATTTTGGGTTGTTCTATTCGCATGCTTACTCTCTAAAGAGAGAGAAGGCGTGGAGTTGGATGGGAGAGGAGGTGGGGAGGAAATGGGAGAGAGGAAACCGTGCTCTGAATATATTGTATGACAAAATTATTTTCAATAGAAAGTAAAATGAGAATGTGCATGTGTTACTCTGAGCGGTCTCACTTGGGTCTCATTTTGCTGCTTCTGACAGGAGCTCCAACCACTCACCCATCAGTCATGTTCAGTCAGTAAAAATGCGAGGCTAGGCGACCGCATTCACTGGCCTGCTAGTTGGGTTAAGTGGCACCTCCCTGTCTTTCCTCTCTGGGATGTCGTCTTATCCCTTCTTTCATGTTAAGAGGACTGAAGAACCCGTTTATAGCCAGAGTAGCAATTCTTTACCAATGGCGTCTTCTGATCAAACCCAGTGTTCATCTGGGGCTTCACTGTGGAGTCAGCTCAAGTCTTCCTGGAAGGAGTACATGTCCCTTCATTGTGAAAATTGTTATGGAAGACCCAGGAGAAGTTGACTTTAGTGATGGAGGAGAAAAATAGATGGGGGGGGGGGTAAGTAAAACTCCGTACAAGATAGGAATGCTACAGGCTTCTCTTAGGAGATAGATCTTTGTGAAACAATCTCTCGAGGAAAAACGGAAACGTTTGTGTTTGGGCCAGCTTTTTTTCTTACGCTCCACTCCTTTCTCGTAAGTTCCAGGAGTTCTGTTTTCTGTGATAGGATAGATCCCAAAGACAGAGCCAGTAACCGTGTGTCATTCTGGCAAGCTGTGCTCTGGCGTGGGAACGCAGAAGGGATGTGTTTAAAGCCAGCTCGCCGCAAAGCAGGGGTCACGTCCACACTTGGAAATCTATCCATGTTCAGTGTCTCACCGAGGATTGGAATGGTGGTGGTGGTGGTGGTGGTGGTGGTGGTGGTGCTGCTGCTGCTGCTGCTGCTGCTGCTGCTACTACTGCTGCTGCTGCTGCTGCTGCACCAGTGTTTTGCATCTGTGAGAAGAGTCTTCTGTACACTAAACCAACGTGTTATATTTTCTAAGATGCATGTCCACAGGAGTGAGTGCTAGATGGTGTGTGAAGATCCTGGAAGCCGAGCGCGTGGGGGAGTTAGAAGCCATGGTTCTTCTAATAAGCCTTGTTTGTTTCAGAATCTCAGGTTCTGTGTTGCAGAAGCAAGAGAATTCATAACCTCATTAAAATCCAGCTAATACACCTTGGATTTTTTTCATTTCTTGAGTTTTCCTGACTCACGATACATTCACAGATCATGAGGCTGTGTTTTCTGAATTGTGGCTTTGAATATTGTTTTCTTTGAAACAGATCTTTTCTCTTTAGTATCTTGTCTTTTTTTTTTTAATGTGCAGATAATGAACACGTATATATGGAGTTGTCACAAAAGCTTTATAAGTATTGTCCAAAAGAATGGAAAAAAGAGGCCAGCAAGGTACGACAATACGAAGTCACTTGGGTGAGATTACATTTATGCACAAAATTCTTTTTTATTCTTTAAAAAGGTTTATTTTAGCTGTCACGTTAGAAAAAAAAAAGTCATAAGCAATAATTTCTCCAGTGGAGAATGAAAAAAGGAAATGAATTATAAGTGCTGAAATATGTTGCTGGGGTGTGAATGGCTGACATCATAAACCAATAGGTAATAGTGTTTCAGTAATGTGGGGGCAATGCTCCCAAGTGAAAGGCACGAGGAAGTATTTGCTTTTCTCCTGTGACAGTGTTGTCAAAGCTTGTAGGATTTATTTTTATCAATTTAAATTTGTTTTTTACAGTCTGACATTCAAGCCTTTGTTGTTTTATTACGCTGGCATCTTTGTGTAGTAAACACCAGTTCTGTTTGCGGGGGGAGCAGGCACAGGGGGGTTGTGTGGTTTCCCCCATCGCCCTGGTGAGTCAGGAATGAAATCACACATCTAATCCCAGCTTCTCCCATGGCAGCTCAGGATTCTGGGGCTACACTGGAAGTCGACTTCAAAGCCGACCACAGATTGAAGAACTCCGGCGTTTTAAGTCAACAAGCAGTGTAGTAGACTGTGGTGTGTGGAATGTTGAGGAAACAAGAGAGCATTTGTAGTAGGGAGCAAATGGTCACCACAGGGGACAGAGCTGGGCCAGAAGCCGGAGCTCAGCTAGAAATTTCCATGGCATTTATTTTTATCTTCCCTTATGTTCCCATTGGCATCACGGCAAATGGGAATCCAGAGAGGGAGGGTGCCCTGCTTTGCTTTGTAACTTTCTGGTTCGATGTGGACCTGGTGTCCACACGGGACACCTGTGCCTACTACAAGCCCCACGTTCCAAGCAGGTCCAGCCTCTGAGCTTTGCAGGTGATGGCAGTGTGACTGGCTGTGGAGCCCTTGGAGATAACTAAACACAGCTCACTGCACGCGTCTCTGTCTTAGGGCATCGACCAGTTCGGGCCTCCCATGATCATCCACTTCCGGGTGCAGTACTATGTGGAGAATGGAAGACTGATCAGGTAGGAAGAACCCACCAGCCTAAGCCTTGCTCTCCTCCATAGCACTTTTTTCTGACATACACCATAGTGTTCATTGCGCTCTTCTGCCTGTCGGAGTGTAAACTCTGCACCAACAACAGTTCTGTTGGTTGTTTGCTTGACTGTTTTTGCACATTCATGTATTCTTAGTGCCTGAAACACAGAGGCATATTTGTTATTGAATTAAGTATTTGTTGGCTAAATAAATCATAGACTAAAGGTGAAAATGTTAATGTCACTGGCTCACATTTTCACTCACAGTCGCCAAGAAGGAACTATCACTGTTGTAAAAAGAGATTCACTAGGTATGATTATATTCTTTTTGTTTGTTTTGTTGTATAGCCCTGGCGTCCTGGATCTCACCCTGTAGACCAGGCTGATCTTGAACTCGGAGATCTGTCTGCCTCTGCCTCTCAAGTGCTGGGATCAAAGGCATGTGCCACCACCACCCAGCAATTATATTCTTTTCCAGTCAGCATGGGGCCACAAACTCTGAAGCTGCCATTTTTTATGCCAGCTTGGTTTTCACTTGAGGTCTTGTTTGTACTCTTAGTAGTCTCAGAACTAAGAGTAAGCCTCAGGGAGCTTCCTATGGAAATCGAGGGTACACTCTGAGGGGGCAGGGAACAGGTTTCTTCTTTGTGAAGATGAAAGTGTTATGAGCACCATGGTGTAAATCAGAACGAATTGGTTTTGAATCTCTTCCTTTGGCATGGGATTCAGTGCTAGAGAATGGGAAGAGATACATTTTTGGCTGACATGAACTGTAAGAAATATGAACCTCTTTCCCTTTACTTTGAAACTTTGAGAAACCTGATATGAAAGGAAAAAAGATGCTAGGCCAACATGATGTGAAAAATTAGGACTTCATAGTTTCTACTATTACCAGATGCACAGTAAGAGTAAGAAGCACTGGTACCCGGAGACTGTTTCTAGAGGCTAAACACTTCAGTTTGTGTGAAGTGCTCACCCGCTTTTCCTGGTAGGATGGAATGCCCTGTAAGAAAGGAAAATAGAGTGCTTGGCCACTGATAAGCCCCATAGGGTTAATGAATGTTAACCCTCTACTCCTGAGCACCCACACAAACACACTGTTAGCCCCAAAGATGGGAGGAGAAAGATGACCAGCCCGAATCATCATGGCCAAATTAATTAAAGCAAGTTTTTTTATTCATGTACATGAGCTAGCTCCCCCTAAGTCAGGGTTTGAGAGGTCATCATTGGATATGAGGAAGACAAGGCTTTTATACCTCAGGGGGTAGATGGTTTCTAAATGGTGGATTTGGTGGGCAAAATAGGCAGGGTTACAGGAGCAGAACATAAGCATAACAAGTTAGTCATAACGACCTCCTGAAACAAAGACAGGGTTGCAGGTGGGCATAACAAGGTAGTCATAACAACAAATAGTCATAACAACAGGCAGTCTTAACAGGGTAGTCATAACAACAGGCAGTCATAACAGGGTAGTCATAACAACAGGCAGTCGTAACAGGGTAGTCATAGGTGGTCATATAACCTTCTCAAGCAAAGGGGATTGCAAGATGGTTATAAACAACGTTCTGAAACAAAGACACAATTGCTATTCCCAGAACAGACAACGCAGAGCCATTTGCAGTTAAGGTTACCCGTGGGACAGAGCCCACCCAATCTGAGAAATAGAGGTTTACTCACAAACAGGAATAAACCTATTTTGACCTTACTATAAGATGGAGGCAGGCTGGTTTTTCACCACCTCGCCATTAAACTACCCAACAGTATGTAGTCCGTATGATAAAAGGCAACACTGAAAAGTGCCCTGTCCACGGGAAAGGAATCACATAGGTGCTTTATTTTTGAGCTCTTAGCCTTGGTCTTGGTTAAAAGAGACCATTATGTTTCTGTGATCTCCTGATGAGCTGTGACGGTAAACAGTCTGAAGTAGCGGGGCCAGTGACCTCGCCTTACATGTACATGTCTGCGATGGTTTTCCTTCGTTTAAAACGCCCCTGTTTGCCCGTGGACATTCCTTCGGAGCTGACTAGATGTCCTGTGACCCACCCACCCACCCACCCCTGCCGCCACTGCTGCCAGCACTTCCTGTTCATCTCCTCAGTGGAGAGCGACTCTGTTTCTGCCTGGGGAGGATTTCAGAGTGTGCACTGTTGGCATTTCCTGTTGTGGGGAGCGTCGTGGGGTCGTTTCATGTGCCTGGGGAAACACTCCATGCAACAGCCCCCTCTTCCTGTAAAACAAGGCAGGTTGAAGGGAAGCCTTGGTTCATTCGTCCTCAGAGCAACAGGAAAACAACAAACCGCTCCTGTGTGGTGTTCTACGAGCATCTTAACGTGCTTCAGGGCGTTGTGATACACTGCAGAGAGGAACAGTACGAGGACCGTCAGACAGGCATGTTCCCGTTGAGTGGTACGCTCAGCAGTGATGGGCAGAGGAGAAAGGAAATTAAACAGACTGCTAATGCCCAGCTTCTGTCATGTCTGGGTTCTGTGACGTACCAGCCTTACCAGAGTGCCATTCCTCAGATCTCCCTTTCTTTGAATACATCAAAGGCTGTGTGAGCCTTAGGGTGTGTTTTTGGCATCTGAGCCTTCCGACCCCCGCAGCCTCCTGAGGCGGTGATCTAGTCCCAGCTTGGGCCTTCCATCTTGGTGAAGTGGGCACAGGGAGCCAAAGCCAAGGGCCTCTGCCAGCAGATGCAGAGGGAGATGTGGGTTCTGTTGACATGTGTGTGTACCGTTCCGCCCTGACACGACCTCTGTCTGCCTGTGTTTTCCCAGTGACCGAGTGGCCAGGTATTATTATTACTGGCACCTGAGGAAGCAAGTCCTGCACTCGCAGTGTGTGCTCAGAGAGGAGGCCTACTTCCTGCTGGCGGCCTTTGCGCTGCAAGCCGATCTCGGGAACTTCAAAAGGAATAAGCACCGTGGAAAGTACTTTGAGCCGGAGGCGTACTTTCCTGCGTGGGTAGGTACCGTCCGCGTCCTCCATCCTGCCCATGCAGGCACGAGCTCCCTCAAGAGATGAACCCGCACGTTCTGGGGACAGTGAAACCACTCAGGATGCCCACGAACAGGTCTAAGAAAGGACAGGAGCTTGTCACCCTGCGTGTCTCTGCTAGTCTACTCACAGCTGAGGAGGCTCACTGGCCATCCCAGATACAGGGGAACTCAAGTGTCCACAGCCCCCCGCTGGGGTGTGCAGGGCAGTGACACTCAGGATCCTCCTGGTGAAAGGTATTTTTTTACCCCTTGGAGGAAAAAAAAAATGATCGCTTCTCAAGAGATGAAGTCATCCGCGGTTTTCATGGGCTGAGAAAACAAATCTGAACCCCCCCTTTGGCTCTGACCTCTGTGTCCTTCCCTGCCAGGTGAGGAGCCACAAGAAGATAGATGTAGGTCAGCCTGCTCCCTAGCCTGTCGGGTTGCCCTTCTCCCTGCAGGCCACTCTGTCCCTCCCCTCTGTGTCCTCCGCTTGCTCGGGCTCGCTCGGGCAGTAGGTCGATCTTCACAGAACAGTGGGTCCCCTGCGTCCACAGAGCCCCGCCGCCTGGCCTGCTTCCCGCCCCAGGGGAGCTTGAAGAAGCCAAAGATAGGCGGCCAAGTGTGTGTGACTTCTCCAGCTTCTTCCTTCCCGTGTGCGTTCCTCGGTCCACCTCCGCCTGCCTGCGCCCCTCAGCCACGCGCATGCTGGCCTCTCATTGCCTGTTTAGCAGACACTTTTCTCTCGTTTTCTGAGTTTTTCTACTGCACTTGGCCCTTAGCCGTTTACCCCAGGGAGATTTCATCCCAGTCACTGCCTTTCGTGACCACCTTCACAATACGCAGGTGACCCCTAAATACGTTTACACGGTACAGTGAGATGACTGGGCAATCGTAAGTCCCGCAGACCCAGCACCCCACATCACACTCCTCTTCCCCCCACCTCCGTATTCCTGGCATCAGAGTGCTGGACATGGCCGTCAGCCCGGTTGCCCAGAACCTGGCTGGTGTCCCATGGACTCTGCTTGGTACTCTACCCCCTCCATGTCCCACCCAGCCACAGCAGCGTCCTCTGGCATGGCCACTCCATTACCTGTCACCCTGCTTAGCCCCGAATCTGGTGACTTGGTTTCCTTCCGTGTCCACTGTATCCCCTCCACTCAGCGGGTCCCTCCGCTCGAGTCCCGGGTCTCAGCACACCGTTGTGGTGCCAGACTTGCTTCAGTGTCCACAGCCTGCAGCTGAGAGGACTGAGCCTCTGTCTCGCACAAACCTGCAGCAGCTCGGCGCTTGCCTGTGCTCTGAAGTCCCGGCTCCCAGCTATGAAACGCCAGGATCTGCTTCCCGCTCCCTCCAGCTTTTCTCAGCTGTTTGTCCTGCACCTTCAACTTTGTCTTCTGGCAGCATCCAGCCTAGTGACTCACTTACCCATGTGTCTGCATAGCCACTGTGCTTTCTCACTTCTGGCCACTCCTCTTTGTTCGTTTGTTTGTTTGCTTGCTTGCTTGGTTGCTTAGCTGGTTGTTTTGTGTTTTGTGGAGACAGGCTTTCACTATGTAGCCTGGCTTTCCTGAAACTCCGTGTAGACCAGGCTGGTTTAGCACTCACTGAGATTCCCCTGCCTCTTCCTCCTAAGTGCTGGCGTTAAAGTCGTGCCCGTGCAGCACCACACCCAGCAGGGGCCTCTAGCATGTGGAGCCTCTGGGCCTTTAGCATGTGGAGCCTCTCTCCTGGTGTCAGCTGGCTGCCTCCTGACCCTCTGGAGATGAGCTCCTGGGGTTGGGTGGGTTTTCCTGCTGGGGTATCCAGCACTGTGCCTGGTGTCCCTGCTCTGGACAGAAGGTCTTGGACATAAGTACTAGTCATCTGTTCCCAGATAACCTGTTTACTGCTTGTCCCGACTACTGTAGTATATCTTTGTGTATCTTAAGGGACAAGGATGGCTGTAGCCATTTCTGGTTTTGATTGACATTCAGTATTTGGTTATCGAAGGGAAAGTGTGCGATATGGCACCTCTTGCTGTTGGTAGCAGGCTTTGTGTTCTCCGGCTGTCATAGCCAAGGGTGGTCATTTCAGTCAGAGCTTCCCTAGTATGTCATAGCCTCAGTGGCCGGGGTACCAGTTCTCCTCTCCAGTCATCCAGATCATCCACTTGAACGTCCTTACACATAGTGTCTCCATGTGTTCGGGGCCTGGCAAAGACAAGCTTGGTGTGCTGACGGAGATGCTCTCCAGAAAGACAGAGCCAAGGAGCAGAGGCTGTAACTCCAGCAAAACTTGATAATGGCCCTGTCATTTCCCATGCATGATTGGTTTTGTTTGGAGAAGGTTTCTCTGTGTAGTTCTGGCTGTCCTGCAACTCTCTGTAGACCAGGCTGGCCTCAGATCCACCCGCCTCTGCCTCCCGAGTGCTGGGAGTTCATAAATTCATTCTGAAATATTCAAAGTAAGAAACAAATGCCTGCTGGGTCTGAGAAGCCACATCACAGCTGAAGACTCACCGGTGTTTTCGCTCTCCTTGAGACCCTTCCCTTTGCTCAGGCCGCCGCCATCTTTTCATGGTTTCAACTCCTTGTGAAACCAGGGAGGGCATTCTCAGCACCTCTTAGCCTGCAGCTGCTGGGGACCGTGTGTCTTTGTCACCTTAAAGCTCGGGTGGACACCATCTGAGTGTAAGCCTCAACAAGTCACCATGAACGTTGAGTTGAAACGGTGTCCTTGTACGTTTTCAAGTGGAGGTCCTGACCCCTCGTGTGAAAACCAAGTGTTCCAAAGAGTCCTGCCTGGTCCTTTACCTTCCCCAGACGAACGTTTATGGTGTCGTGTTCCGTGTGTGTGACTGGGGAGCCAGAGGGAGCCAGAGGCTGCCATGTTCTGACGCAGGTGTTTTTTCTGGTGCCCGTCATTTGGGGAGTGCAGTCCATGAACGGTGTGAAGTTACACCAGTTTGTGTAGGGTCCCCCCCCCCCACTTCGGTGATCTTTAAAACCAAGAGAATCGGTTTTTCCCATTGGGATTTTTCTTCTACCAAATGGACTTGTAGCTGTTAACGTTAGCCTGTTCCACCCAGTCTCACGACGAGAGAGTTGGAAGTGGAATAAAATTAGAATGTCTAATGGAAACGAGCCAGTTTGTGTGGCCTATTTTAGCCTCTCACCCTCTTGTCCTCTGGGGGTGGTGTTCCAACAGGTTGTTTCCAAGAGGGGGAAGGAATACATCCTGAAGCACATCCCAAACATGCACAAAGACCAGTTTGCCCTGACGGCCTCCGAGGCGCATCTCAAGTTCATCAAAGAGGCCGTCCGCCTGGATGACGTGGCCATCCATTACTACAGACTGTACAAGGTAGGAAAGTCCTCGGCCCAGCTCCTGGCTGTGCTCTTCCTGAGCGAGATTCCAGCTACCCTTGGTTTCCAGGGCGCAGGCCTGGAGGCCATTGTGATCTGGCCTGAAGTAAACATCTGTAACAGTCGGTAGCAAATGGCTACAGATCGTGGCTCTGGCTCTTCATACTCAGGCTGTAGTTCTTTTTCGGCTTTGGAGAGCAGTCCTTGCCACCCGTTTGGTGGGTATTATTTTAGCGTTCCTCTAGGTGACACTCCAACCCTCATTCTCCCGCCTTGTGTTCCCTGAGTTACAGGAATGTCCCCACAGGACCCAGTGCAGACAGGGCGCTGTGTTCCTGGTTTATTCTTCAGACCCCTGCCACTCTGTAGGAAGCGCTCATTTTATAGGCCAGGAAGGGAACTTGAGGAAGTTAAATAATTCATCAGGGTTGCAAAACCAAGTGACAGAAAGTGAATCCAGCCCAGGCTTCTCGATGACAAAGTGTGCGTGTGCGTGAGCACGCGTGTGTGTGTGTGTGTGTGTGTGTGTGTGTGTGCGTGTGCGTGTGCGTGTGCGTGTGTGTGTAAGTCAAGCACTGCTCACACACAGGTGCCCCTTATTCTCTCTTGCAGCCTGTGTATCCCTAGCCCTACTTTTCTGGCCTGAAATGGGCCACACGTTCACAGAGCACTGGGGAGGGGGTACTCTGCACACACTCACGCTGTCCTTCAGCATCTTCTTGCCTTCTCTTCCCTGCTCCACCCCCCCCACACACACACACACATCTTCCCTGTCCTCACAAGTGCTATTGCTTGACCAGAATTGGGTTCTCCTAAGTACTCAAGGTGCTTTTACAAACCCAGTGGGATGAAGTTGTTAAAATGTGATCTGTAGGCCTTCACTGTGAGATTGAACCCCAGTTTGGCTCTTTACTGTGTGACCCTAGGTAAGCATTTGACATCTCTGTGCTTCAGCTGTCCCATAGCTTAAAGGATGCTAGAACCTACCTACCCCAGAGGACTGCGGTGTAGAGGAATTGATGAGTGAACCGTGCTTGAAACAGCGCAGGTCACGTGTCCAGCAGAATGTTCAGCGAGCTATTCTGTTGATATGTTTGCTGTCCCTACCACACCCTTTGTGATGAGATTAGTATAACTGGGCCTGTGTGTGTGTGTGTGTGCGCGTGCGCGCGCGTGTGTGTGTGCACGTGTGTGTGTGTGTGTGTGTGTGTGTGTGTGTGTGTGTAGGGGTGTGTTTAGTCATATTGCTGGGTAGTCTTCCCAGCCGATTGCAAAACTCCACATACTGCAGAACTCAGCATACTCTCCTTCCGTTGCTCTGGCTCTCACAGTTAATACCTCACCATCCTAGGAAGGCATACGGAGTTCCCTGAGATCTGTCTAAATTCCTAAAGGGTTGACTTGCTTTTCCTAAGATGTCTTTGTGACACCTCGCTTTACGTGAGAAAATTGCAGGAAGTGGCATTTGAGACAATCCGTTCATACTTTGAAGTACATTAGAAATATAAATGGTATTTTGGACAGACTGTGGCCTTGGAGTGAGATCTCAGTTAGAGGCCCTGGGGATCCTGGGCAGCTGCACTGGTCACGGGCCATCTGTTGACTAAGAATGATGCTGTGTCCTGTGAAGGCCAGAGGGGCCCATGCAGTAACAGGCCTGAAATAGCAGGACACCTATGACATTAGCAGGTGTTCAGAAAGTGACATTGCTTTTTGTCTTATTCGCTGGGGAAGCTGGCCAGTTTAAAGAAGCCCGAGAAGGAATTAGTCTTTCAGTAAAGTTGATATGGTTCTGTGTTACATAGAAAATGCCTTGTCTGTTTTAAAAAGACATTCAATAGAGAGCCGTCACTGAAGTGAGTGGAGGAGATACTGCTTGCTACCTGATGGACACCTCCTGTTTGGAGAATTCACATGGCATCCATTCAGTCTCCTTCAGTAGGGGGCAGCTTATAAAAAGGGAAAAGGCAGACCAGAGAACTCTCTGAAGGAAACGGCTGTGTGGCTGTTTTGGACCCCGCCTTATTTCAGAAAGCGTGCCACAGCTTGGGGAGGGAAACCGACCTGAGCTGGTGTGCTGATGGGGCAGGCGTGTGAACCTGGCACTGCATATGCCTTTATTGACATGAGAACGAATTAGCTGGGAAGAAATCATCCAGGCTAGTAACAGGCCAGCTTTTCTATTCCAGGAAAGAGCGTGTTTTCTAATACTTCTCCCTGTGTTCTGAGAAAACTGGCCTTAAACTTAGTGAAGACCTAGGGGGCCGGAGAGGTGGCTCAGTGGTTTGGAGCACTCGTTGCTCTTTCAGAAGACCTGGGTTAGATGCCGACCCCCCACGTAGTGGTTACAACCCTCCCTAACTTCAGTTCCGGGGCATCCAGCAGCCCCTTTCAGCTCGGCCAGACCTGGGTACATGTGGGGTGCACATACATACACCCAGGCAAAACACCCATGCACATGAAAGAAATCCAAAACCGCTTTTAAACGTAATAAAGATTCGATAATACTCACTTATTGTTTTGAGATTTCTTGTAAATTTCAAAGTGTCGTGCCTACTCATTACACATAAGTCCTTAAAGATTTGCCCAAGCTGAGCACATTTTTAAGTGTAGCATTCTTTTCCTTATAGTTAAAATGGCTTAAGTTTTACAGTTTAGATACATAGACACATAATAGTAGAATGTGTATCCTGTCAGCAAGTATTTGCGAGTTAACAATATAAAGCTTCTTCGGGAGAGCCTTAAGTGTTTGGTCACGTGTCTCTCCTTTCGGCATCAGGGATAGGTGGGGCGCCGGGGGAGTTCCCTGGTTTGAAGCCTGCCAGCCTGTCAGTGTGTCTTAGACTGGAACTAGACCACTGCATCCGTAGGCCAGCATCCACACAGTACGTAAGCACAAAGAGAAGGGGAAATGGTCAGTGGGTGGGAAGACAGTAAGAAATGCCTTGCTGCTGCTGCTGGAGTTCTTAGTGCCAGGAGCGTTTAGAATAGTCTCAGAAGTGGAAGTTGTGTGTACAGTGCTGAACACTAAAACCTGGAAACCGAAGGAGTCAGAAAATAAAGAGAATAATTGGTTTAATAAATGCTCATGATATTCTGGAGCCTTGCAGGAAACCAAGGATGCCGAAAGATTTGAGCAGTTATTTTAGGTTAAGAAAACAAAAAGAAAAAACCTAATTCTGAAATGTGTCTTTTGTTTCTTAATGGCTCAGTTGTCTATTATACAAGGAAAAATGGTTTTTCATAGAATTGTATCCCTTCAGGATAAAAGGGAAGTTGAAGCTTCGCTGACCCTGGGACTGACCATGCGGGGAATACAGATTTTCCAGGTTTGTAAATGGGGTGGGGGGCGGGGAATATCAAATGGTGTTGAGCAGGTCTTACTACAGAGAATGCCTGTGTGACCCTGCCGCGGGCTCAGCCTCACTTCCTGTCTGTCTGTCGGCACAGAGGTGGGTGATGTCAGCCATGGATGGAGGAAGATCAGTCCAGTCAGGCACTCCCGAGCCTCACTGTCCAGACTTGGCTCCTTGGGTCTCGTGGATTATCAGTGTTCCTCTTTCCCACCATAGAAACCTCCTACCTACCCAGTGCTTCGTGACGGTTACAGTTTTCTAACACACGGTGTCCTATAAGTGGGTGGGGACTGTCCCCCTTCCACAGGTAGAGCAGTGTCTCCCTTTAGGCTTACATCGGGGACTGGGAGGAAGTAGCTCCCTTCGAAGAAGACAGAAAGATGTCTTATCTTTGATCCAGGCAGAATATCCAACTATGGAACTCTCAGTCCCTTGGTTGCTGAGTGTCTGTGAGTCTTTTAGACTTCCTGTTTAAATGCAGGATTAGACCCTAGGGAAAGTTGCCTTTGGAGAGCCAGCGAACGCAGTCCACGGGAGCTGTGGGGTTTTGTTGATCAACTTAATTACCGTCTGCCCCCCTCCAGAGAGGGCTGAGGACCCTTTCCGATTTTTAATTACTGAACCATGGTTTACTCCGAAGTAAGAAGACAGTTTTAGGATATCTGTCGTGATTCCTCTTAACTCCTTCTATGCTGAAATTCTTTCTACAGAATCTAGAAGAAGAGAAACAATTGCTGTTCGATTTCCCCTGGACAAATGTTGGGAAGTTGGTGTTTGTGGTAAGTGTAAAATAACTCAGAAAACAGGGGTGAGGAAGAGCAAATAAGCCTTACAGGCTGATTTAGAGAATTTGGGGGGTTTCGTTGTGAAAAATATTGTGACTAAGAGCAAAAGGAATCTTGCTTTGTTCTGTTTTTTTGAGTGGGGTCAAGGATGGTTGTTTGTTTTGTCGTTAAAATCAAAGCTGGGGCTGGGTGAAATGCCTCAGCACAGAGGGCTGCAGCCAAGTTTAACAACTGGAATTGAATCCCTGGGCCCCACAAAAGTAAATTAAAATCAAAGAATTTAATGTGTGTCCAGTGTCTGCCACTGCTGTAAGTAACCTGGATTGCAGGAGAAAGTGAAGGGAAAAACACAAGGTGAATCCACCAGATAGGATTGCGTTTAAAAATCCACAGTAGAGGCATTGTTGGCACGCGGAGTAAGTGACTCAGTGTGTGCGCTGACTGTTGGCCTAGGAAGTCACCTCGTTCCAGTGAAGAATGCAAAGTGAAATTTACAAAGGTGTTTCCATTAATGCCAGCCGATTTCACAGTTCAGCCCCTCGTTTTCGATAGTCCGCCATAAGCAATGGGGGAAAGCTCTGAGATGATACTAAGTTCTGTGAGAACAAATTCTTGACTCTTCGCCATGTCTCTACTCTGCCAGCCACGTTCACTGTGCGGTAGCCTTCCAAGAATTACAGTTTCTATTGTGTGTGTCTGTGTGGAGGTCAAAATCCATGATTCTACTGAGTTCTGAAGCAATTGAGAAAAGTCGACCAGGAAAAGCTGTAGCTAAAGTTGGGTAGACCAGAAGGCCTAGACGATAGAGGGCCATCTTGCCTTTGGAGCCTCGCAGCCCTGCCAGTCTGACTCTGCATTGCCTTAATTCCTTGAGCGCTGTCTGCCCTGGCCTCACTCACGTTAAGTGGAGCTTGCTCTGCCCACTCCGCCCTGGTGCTCTCGCGGTCTGGCCCTTTTCCAGAACTGTTTGAAAATCATAACCCCATTCACCTCCTTCATGGCCAGAATCAGTAGTGATAAAATGCATTGATGAAATGAAGACCCTTTAGGGAACTTTAGACTTCCTGAAAGTCTCACCACACCACCCTTCCCTAGATGTTTTTTTGATTCGGCATGGACACCAGGAATCCATTTCAAAAGTTTCCCGGCCCTGCCTATCGGTGAGATCTTGAGCAAGTGACACTCAGTTTCTCTCTGCCTTGGTTTCCTTCTGAGATGGGAGTAGCCTGTGCTCTTCACTACCGACATCTTGTGAGAGTTCCATGAATTGTTGCATGTGTGGTGCTCACTGGGAGTCAGTTATTGCTGCCCCAGCGTTGGGGTCATTCAAGAGCCAGTGCTTTAAAAACATAACACAGTCTCCATGTGAGTTAGAGTCCTTTCTGGTGGTGGTGGTTTTCTTACTCTTTGTCTCTTTGGTGGCCTGCCACCCAGCTCCCACATAAATCACACACAGAGGCTTATTCTTAATTATGAATGCCCGGCCTTAGCTTGGCTTGTTTCTAGCAGCTTTCCTTAAATTATCCCATCTATCTTTTGCCTCTGGGCTGTTATCTTTTCTTACTTTGGTAACCTCACTTTCACTCTTTCTCCATGGTTGGCTGTGTAGCTGGGTGGCTGGACCCTGATGTCCTCTTCTCCTTGTTCTCTTGCTCCTCCTTCTCCTCCCAGAACTCTCCTTCTATTAATTCTCTCTGCCTGCCAGCCCTGCCTATTCTTTCTCCTGCCTTGCTATTGGCCGTTCAGCTCTTTATTAGACCAATCAGGTGTTTTAGACAGGCACAGTAACACAGCTTCACAGAGTTAAACAAATGCAACATAAACAAAAGTCACACACCTTAAAATAATATTCTACCACACAGTCCCCTGATGCTTTGCTCCATCTCCACCTGCTTCATTTGCTACATTAAAGTGTTGGGGTTGCATCTGAAGGGGTCTCTTGTACTGGGCCAAAGAACATGAACGCAGCCCTCCCTGAGTTTGGTATTCTCTGTCCTTCGACAGCTCTGAAGGGGAGAGGAAAATAATGATTTGTCCCTCAGAGAATCTTAATTTAAAAATGAAGGGGACTTTGGCAGTTTGGAGATTTTTTTTTTTTCTGCCATGATTCCATTTGCACTTTTCCTCCACAGGGCAAGAAGTTTGAGATTCTGCCAGATGGCCTCCCCTCGGCCAGGAAGCTGGTCTACTACACGGGCTGCCCCACCCGCTCTCGGCATCTCCTGCAGCTCTTGAGCAACAGCCACCGCCTGTACATGAACCTGCAGCCTGTCCTGCGCCACCTCCGGAAGGTGGAGGAGAACGAAGGTGGGATGGGTCGGGGGATGCTGTGGGTCCCCCGCTGGCCTCTTCCTCTCCCTGCCAGGAACAGGAATGTTTAAGCACCTCCAGAATGGGATCTTTAGAGACAGAGACTGGAAATTCCGAGCTCAGTTCCGTCCATGTCTCAGTCCAGGAGGCCCTCTGACTGAGACAGCGCCCCAGCCTCGTCTGTTTGGCCCCTCACTTGAAAAGCTTGCAAAGGACTAGGGCGGAACCCTTCTGCATCAGAGAGCTGAGCGCCCCAGGCCAGTGTGATGCCTTCCTTAGGCCCATGTGACAGTGAAGATAAGTCACAGCTCCTCTGATTGACAGCAGGGAGACCCTCAGGATGACACTGTAATAGTAGAAATGGAGAAGGCCTTTTCTGCCCACGGACTTTGCCCACAGCCCTGTGGTGGCTTCGTGGAGATGTAGTGGACCCGAACAGTTTGTTTGAGGTCCTAGCACTGTTCCTGAGGAGAGAATGAGCTGAGTGAGGAAGGAGGCAGTGTCGGGGCCTCTGGTGGCAGACCTCTGTTAACAGCTTGTCATCAGTTATGGGCCCTGGGGCTCCTCTGGTTAGTAAACACCCCCTTCTCATCCCGATTGTGGTCAGTGTCACACAGATTCGAAATGGAATGCCTGCCTGGGCCTCAGGACACAGTGGTTCATGCTGTGGGTCTATATATTAAACAATGTATGTGCTGACCCCAGTGCTCCTGTGGAAAGGAACAAGGACCTGTCCTCCCTCTCACAAAGCAGCCTTAAAGAAGACTTGCATCTGATCACTTTCTCTAAAGCCAGATGTGACCAGATGTGTGCGAAAATTCCTTACGTCTACAGTGGTGAGACCATGAATCACTCCCTGCCATCTGCCACTGTGACTCTCCTGTGGCACCATGCGGTGTACTGGCTACTGGTGCAGGCTGCCCTTCTCCCATCAGCCTCACACATATGTCACCTGGGCTGGCATGAATCTTAGGGACCCACTCTTAGAGACTTAGGAATCTTAGGGACAAAAGCACCAAGGAGGAGCCTGTGAGAGCAGGTGGCCCACCTGGTTGTAGAGCCCGTGATCTCCCAAATCTGCCACACTCCTAAGTGGCCACTGTGGCACCTCAAGAGAGGTTTATTTATGGCCTCAGTTCTCAGCCCAAGGCATTGTAGAAATTCAGAAGACCTTGAGGGGACCCTGGAGAGGCCAATAGGGTTGGTGCCTCTCCTCTGCAGAGATGAGGGAGGGTTGCAAAGGATGCTGAGCTCTCGGAGGCCAGGGCACCATCCCCTTGATGTGTTGGCGCTTAAGTGAGCAAATGTCTCAGTCCGCCCTGCTGCTGGAACAGAGCACCCCAGGCTGGCGATGCATAGAGAATGTCTGGAAAGTCCAAAACAAGGCTGGGCGTCTAGCAGGGACTTCTGGTGCATCATCTGGAAGAGCAAGGAGCAGGCACAGGGACCAGAGGAGACTCCCATAGTAACATTTGTCCATGAATAAGGGCAGGGCTCTCAAGACCAACTCACCTCAGAACACCCCCACATCTTACACTGTCACAACACTAAGGAAATGTCAACCTGAGTCTGAGAGGGGACATTCAGAGCATAATGGGGGTGGAGAAGTGATGAGGGTGTGTGTTGCATCTTTTATTTGGTTGAGTTTAAATAAATAATGGGGGTATTATTCTTACAAAAAAGATGCCCTTTTGTTTGTTTATTTTTCCTACTTGGAGGTCCTTCAGACCTGAAGAAATCCTCATACCGAGTTTCTGTGAGCTAGCTCTGATGCAGATTCACCAATCCACATGTAAGGGTTCCATCATTTTAACCAGAAAAGCCCCTTTTGGCATTTAGTTAAGCATAAAAGAAGGGGTATTCTTCAATTTCATTTCTTCATACCTTTTGAAGATGCTGCTGTTTCACCATTTTTATAGAAATGCTCACGAGAATACTTCCATGGGGTTGAGAGGAGGAAAGTTTGCCTTGTGTCATTAAAAGCATCATCGAGCGAGGCAGTCCACACCTTTGATCCCAGTACTTGGGAGGCAGAGGCCAGCCTAGTCTACAGAGTGAGTTCCAGGACAGCCAGAGCTGCTACACAGAGAAACCCTGTCTTGAAAACACAAACAAAAAAGCATCCCCTACAGTTACTAGAACAGATTCTTAGGTCCCAGGTTATATTTCAAAATATAGTTCGCAAACTTCTGTTCTCCAGGCTCACTCTGTAGAAGTCTTGGTCTCTGATGATCTGGCCGTGGGCTCTCGTGATCAGGAGGGGGCAAGGGGGCATGATCTGCGTCCCCCAGGCCTCCTTGCTTTCTCCTGCCACCCATTTCCTCCAGAGAGCTGGTGGGGTTGCAGGTCAGGGCTTTGTGCAGACTAAAGGCCTGCAAGTGTTTCCACTTAGCCAAGAAGCAAGGCAAGCATGTCCATTAACAGGCCCCCCGAGATCCCAATTTTCTGCTGGTCCAAAACCCTATCAATTTAATGTTGCCCGAATGTACTCTGTCCTTAACATTGCTCTACTGTGTTTCTTTCTCATCAGTATTAAGACAAGGAAGCTAGACTGTTCCTTTTACATTTTTCTCACCTGAAACCGAAGAATTCTGCCGTGAGCACCAGCCCTTAGTTCAGCGGTGGCTCTGTAACTCCATGTGTGTTTAACTTAGTGTCTGCTGAGAGAACTTCCTAAAGCCTGACTTCCCAGTGTCTGTCTTTGACCCCATCAACCAACACCACCAGTCTGTCCGATCAGAGACCGCCTGGCGGGGGGGGGGGGCACCAAACCATTAGTGATGACCGTGGTGGGTAACGCCTCACTTTTTGGCCGAGCTGGAAAAAGCCAGTCTTGAATTACTTGAGAAGCTAGGTTTTAGAATCTTCGTAGGAAATGGTCTGAATATCTTTGTCTTGTTGGTAGCTGAAGGTAATGGGATCGAGGAAATGGACACACAAAATGAACAGCAGTCAGCATGTTGAGTAACTGTTCATCGAATGTTTCTAGAATCACTTGTGGAGGACCAGGTTTTGATATTTAACGTGCTGTCATCTGCCAGCTTTGCAAAATCCCACAGTGGTTGTCGTGGCAACGTCACACGGCTCCACCAGGTGTTCTCAGTCACTGAACTTATTTCACTGTGGAATGGTAGCAGTGTGCAGACAGGAAGTAACTGGCCTGCCATGACACTCCGAAGAGCCCACTTCTCTGGTATTTGGAGCTTCATAACTGGCCATTTTAAAGTCCTCCCAAGGGATTGCTGCGCCGATGTGTATGCCTTGGGTAGTGTTCCTACGTCAAGCCCCGGTTCCCAGAATCCCTCAGTCGCTAGATTGAGAGAGACTGCTGTTGATCTCAGCCTGACACCCTCCTGTTCTTCTGCCTTGGTTGAGTATGCGCTGTTGACCTACTTTCTCCCCCACAGAGAAAAAGCAGTACCGGGAATCCTACATCAGCGACAACCTGGACCTTGACATGGACCAGCTGGAAAAGCGGTCACGCGCCAGTGGGAGCAGCGCGGGCAGCGTGAAGCATAAGCGCTTATCCCGCCACTCCACGGCCAGCCACAGCAGCTCGCACACCTCGGGCATCGAGGCAGACACTAAGCCCCGGGACCCAGGCCCGGAAGACAGCTGTTCAGGCAGCGCCATGCACCGCAAGCTGAAGACCTGCAGCTCCATGACCAGCCACGGCAGCTCGCACACCTCAGGAGTGGAGAGCGGCGGCAAAGAGCGCCTGGAAGAAGACTCGCAGGATGATGGTAACGTCTGTCGGGCAGCTTTCCCATGTGGGTCCCGTAGACTGGGTATCTGGTTAGTGGCTGATAATGGTGATGGAGAAGTCTTGCCATCTCCCCAGTGGCCTGATCAAGTCGCCTGCGTCTGTCAAGGACCTTTGCAGCCTCGGGGTTGGCAGATTGTGTGACGTAGAGGGGACAGAAGTCCTGTGGCCCTTGTGTCTTGTGTTCCTCTTCCTTTAAAAAAACAAATGCATCCAGTATATACCGTGAACTCCCACAGTGTTTCCTTGAGTGTCCCCCGGGTCACCAGGACTGTAGGGAGTAGAAAAGAAACATAGAACCTGGCCGCTAGGAAATGACTCTCTGTTGAGAGAAAGCCTCAGATCCTAGCCTGTGCCAGCCAGATTTAGCATTTGGGTGCTTCTTTTGAGTTTGTTTCTATTTCACACAAGATCTGGAAAAAACAAAACAAAGCAAAATTATTGATGGGTGCTAATGACCCATCAGTGTCAGTTAGCCCCAGGCCATTGCGGCTTCTCCTCTTCCTTAAAGAGTGGAGTAATTGACAGCAAATCATGGCACCAGAGTTTTGGCAGTATCAGCAATCCTTCAAAAGGGGCACATCATCCTGAGAGTGTCCCTAGACTTTCCTACTGCAGAATTGTGTTTAGTCTCAAATGCACACATTTACCTGGCTGGCCTCACAGTACAATGTGGCTTCTTCTTCCTTGGGGTCATTAAATGTCTTCTTCCCTACTTCTGTGTCAGAAATAGAGATGTTGGTCGATGACCCCAGAGACCTGGAGCCAATGACAGAAGAGTCGCTGGAAGTCAGCCCCGACGTATGCATCTACATCACAGAGGACATGCTCCTGTCAAGGAAGCTGAACGGGCACTCCGGTGAGCTCTCGAAGCAAGCTGTTCCCTCCAGAAGCCCACAAGCATGTGCCTCTGAGAATAGGAGGGTGGTGGGGACGCCCGGTCAACCAGGGAGAAAAAGCCACTTCAGGTCACTTGATCAGAGGGCCAAGTGCCTTCTGTGTAAGAGTGGAAGGGGGTGTGTGCACCAGGAAGGAACATTAGCATCTTTTACCCAGGCTGTGGACCACGCTGTGCTGCTGGCTGGCTGGCTGGCTTTTCTTTCTTTCCCCCACCTCGCTCCCTTGCTGAGAATTAGAGAACCACATGGCCTTGGAAGGAGCCTTGGAGACCCTGCAGTCTGGCCCTTTCCCTTTTGGACATGAGAAAAATCAAGAGATTAAAGAGACAAGTGCTCATGGCTAGAAACAGACGTCAGGTCACCACTCTATTACATGGATAGAAGAATCTGATTTTTAGATAGACAGTCTTTCTTTGTTGTTGTTGTTTGATTTGGTTTGCTTTGTTTGGTTTGGGTTTTTTTTCTTTGTTTGAGTTTTTTGAGACAGAGTTACTCCGTGTAGCCCAGGCTGTCCTGAAACTAGCTTTGTAGACCAGGCTGGCCTCGAACTCACAGAGGTAGACATTCTTAAATTGCATACTTGCATGAATTCTAGAAAACATGCCTTCACTGTAACTTGACACTGGGGTTATAGACTGTTCTGTGATGCACGTTTCCACCATCTGAAGTCAGCAGTGTGAGGTTGTTTTAAACCTCTGTGTGCCTCTATCACATGTCATGGATCAGTCTCCTCTGTCCTTGGGCTTAAGACTTAGGGAGCCAGCACTGTGAAAGGGCCCTGGATGCTTACTCTCCAGCCACTTTAAGTAGAGGTTTCTCCACCTCTCCGAGTGGCTGATACCAGCTGTTCGAGGGGAAATAGACAGACACCCGATCGCTGCCATCCTCCCTCTTACTGTACAAGAGCCCAAGGAACAGTTCATGGCAGAATTCCATATGCTCACCCAGCCCAGCCGCATGTGGTGAGCCTAAACCGTGGCAGCAGTGGAGATTCCTGATGCTCGACCAGCCTTGATGTATATATAATCAAGAACAATTCTCTTTATTATATTGAATTTTCTCTTTATATATTAAAGGTAAATCCTCAACTCTATGCATATGATAAGTGCATGGGAAGCGCTACATATTTATGTTTGTAAAAAGAAACTGATTTGAAGTGGTATACACCAAAATGTCCATGAAAGTAGAATACATGGGCCACTGGCAAGTGCTTCCTATTTATATGTTTCTGCATTCAGTTTTCATGAGATTATCAATTTTGTAATTTTGAATAGAAATAAAATTTAAATAGGATGACTTACTATTTAATATACCTTTTTATATGTTTTTAATAGTGAAAAAGAAAACAGCGAAAAGTTGAATTGTCCAATCACTAGACACTGGAACATTAGACAGCCTTTATGAGACTTTTTAAAGGATACTCGACAGAATTCAAAAGCCAGGCAAGGAAAATACAACTTATGTAAAAAAAAAAAAAAAAAAAAAAAAATGAGCTAACTGAAACTGTTTATATAGAACACATAAAAAAAAAATGTGACTTTGAGGGGGCCGTGCATGCTTTCCGTTTCTGCCTTGCATCACCCCAGTTTTCCAGTTTCTCTGCCACATGAGCGTTGCTTTTGGTCTCTGATGTCAGACTGAGCACTGATGAAGACAGCCATGCTGGACTCTGCCTTCTTCAGTGGTGGATATGAGCTTGGAGGAGAGCGTCCCCAGGCCCAGGAGCCAAGGACGTTGCCAGAGAGCCCACACAGAACCATACCACATGCCCAACAGTGCACGCGCCCTTCAGTCCTGTGGGATCTATTCAAGGGGTCACACTACCATCCCAAGCAGGAGCATCCCCCGAGAGTTCTAAAGCACCCGTGTGTAAGCCAGGAATGGCTTCACAGTTCACATTTCAGTTTATCTGCTTACCGAATCCTCTCTCTGTACAAGGTGCACCCCTAGGTGCTGCAGGCTGCCAGCGGTGGCTGAGTAAACCTCTCTGGCGTGGCGGGGTGCACTGTCCCTTGAAGCCATTGTCTCTGCCCCTGCTGCTGGTCCTCACGTGTTTCGGTGGCGTTTGGTCCGATACCCAGCGCGGGTTGGTAATTTCAGCCTCTGAAGCAGTTTGGGAGAGCGCATCACTCACGTGTTAAAGTCAGAAAGGAGAACATCGTCCTTAGGTTCCTGGTTCTGAAAATTGAGGTTTCCTCGAGGCACAGAGGTGGTTAAGGGCTGTGCTGATCTCAGAGATCCGGTGCTGCCTTCTCACTGCCGTCTCCATCTTGATCTCTTTCCGCTAGCATCTGCCGTTGGGGCTGTGGTCCCAGTGACCTGTTGGCCAGTGGGAGCTCCTGACCCTTTTTGTCCATGACTGTTTAACCATCCCCAAATGCTGGTTGAGTAGCATTGTTTATAAAAGGAAGCTCAGGAGATGTGGGGAGGCTTGAGAACTGGCCAGGATCCACAGCCAGTTAATTATGTGGGCAGGTTCCAGCCCCAGCCCATCGGATTGCAGAGGCCAGCACCCTCACACCTGATGTCCACATAGAGCCAAAGCTAGGAGATTATATTGGTGCTCCACACTATGAGAGGATAAGGGAGACATGGAGACAAGGTAAAGAGGCCTCTTTACACCTAAGGCCTCCATCTAATGTTATAAACAGCTTACTCCTGGACCTCCCCACCCTAGCTGACCCTTATTCCCTGCCCTCTACTTCCTACCAAAGAGTGGGTGCCACCAGCTGTGAGCCACTGAGGAGTCACCATGAAAATCCTCAGTAACGATCACAGTTGGCCTTGTCAGAAAATGTGGAGGAGGCTCATTGTTGTTGTTGTTGTTTTTTTTTTCTGTTTCACCTCAGGGCTAATTGTGAAAGAAATCAGTTCTTCCACCTCCAGCTCTTCAGAAACGGTTGTCAAGCTGCGTGGCCAGAGCACCGACTCCCTTCCGCAGGTACGGGGCACTGAAACCTTTGTGTTAGCAACTGGAGTTACAGACCTGCTGTCTGTCCTAGTTAGGGTTTCTAGTGCTGCGAAGAGACACCATGACCACGGCAACTCTTACGAAACATTTACCTGGGGCTGGCTTACAGTCCAGAGGTTTAGTCCCTTATCGTCATGGCAGGAAGCATGGCAGCGTGCAGGCAGACACGGTGCTAGAGAGGTAGCTGAGAGTTCACCTTGGTCTGCAGGCAGCAGGAAGTGAGCTATGGGCCACACTGGGCATGGCTTGAGCATAGGAGACCTCACATCCCACCTCCACAGTGACACACTTCCTCCAGCAAAGCCACGCCTCCTAATGGTGCCACTTCCTGTGGGCCAAGCATTCAAATGCATGAGCCTGTGGGGGGCGTTCCTATTCTGACCACCGCACATGCTTACATAGGACTACACTTCATACACATGAGCAAAGAACAACCAGAAGGAAACGAGTCATGACCAGTTACCTACGTCCTCACTGTTTTCTGAATATTTTCATCGGGCATGCTAGTTCCACTTATATTTGGGTTTTATTTGGATAATTGTGTACTCTGTTGTAGAGGGAGCCTCTGGTCATCAGGCTTCTAGTTAGCTGTGTGCACCCAAGAGGGTGTGTGTGTGTTTGTGTGTGTGTCAGGGTTGACTGGCCACCTCAGCAGGTGGGGAGATCGTTGTTGAGTGTGGTAAGTGGCAGGGCATTTTCACTGAATTTCCAAATATGCAAGTTACACTATCTGCCGGCTGTGGCCACTGGTGCAATTCTTAAAATGTCTATATACTTACTATATACGTATACGCTCCTTTTCCCCTTCTTTTCTTCCTTTCTCTGGCATTGGGGCTCACTTTGGACTTTTTACCCTCACGTTGTTGGGGGGTTTTTTTGAAGGGGGGTACCCATTTTTTGTACTTCTTATAAAAGAAGCCATACTACGAAAATGACATTTATTAAACATTTTTCTACAGTTTCCAATATTAAACAGTATGTGTAGCGAGGAAAGTTGGAGCCCAAGCTCTGTCACCTCAAAATGCTGCGTACACTGTACACAGATGTCCCTGGACACCACAGGTATCACTGCTGAGCAGCAAATGCCAAACCTACAGCTCTGGGACATTTGTGTGCCTTGAGAGTTTGTGGTAATAAATAATTCCATGTCTGAGGTCCTTCTGAGACCTGGGAAGTTTAAGGGGCCATTCCACTTTTTAGCAAAGCGTGCTCCCGGAAGGTTTGTGTCTAGCAAAGTGGTGTCCTTTTCCAACAAGTTGTTCCTTGTGGTGCCAGACAGCAAACTTAGACTACCTAGTTTCTTATACCCAGTAAGCATCTCCCATTTGTGTTACTATCTTTAATGTCTCTTCAAGTGGTCTTTAAGGACCACTTGGGATAAAATTCAAAAAGCCCGCCACCTACTGGTAGCACTTGGAAGGACAGAACCTCTCTGAGTGGCTAGGACTGCTGCTTTTCAAAATTCTGCATTTCAAAAATTATTTCTTTTAATTATGTGCATGTATGTGCACATGAATTCAGTTACCCGTGGAGGCCATAAGAGGGTGTTAGATACCCAGGGACTGAAGTTTACAAGTGGTTGTGAGCCACTGCTTTGAGCCCTGGGAACCGAACCCGGGTTTTCGGGGAGAGCAGCCAGTGCTCTTAAAGGCTAAGCCATCTCTGCGGCCCCAGTTTCCTCCCAGCCTTCGGCAGCAAGAGCTCTTTATATTCTGGACTCTTTAAAACTTGCTTCTTCAAGATGTGTTTCTTGAGTGATAATTACTTTTCCATTTCTTATTAAAATATTAATAGGCCCAAGCAGGAAAGGTGTTAGCAAGTTGAACTGCCCTATCCTGATGGAAAGAAGAAAGAAAAGCAGCGTTGTTTTTTTTTTTTTTTTATCTTTATAGCTAGATTTCTCACATGCTAGGAGCAGTTGCCCGCCTGTCTTTGTGTTGGCTGTATGTACTAGGGAACACTACATGGCATGTACCAGCTGAGTATTTGGGCAGAACAGGCACATTGAAATACTCAGTGAAAGGTCCTTCCCCCAGAAGCCACGGGTTGGAACGCACTTTCTAACACATAAGGACTACTTGGCATTTTATGATTTTTACAGCAGCCCTCTCTGCCAGCCAAAAGACATTACTTTCCCGGGTAGTCTGTATTATTTCATTCTCTCACCCTCCCCTTATCTTGCAGACTATATGTCGAAAACCAAAGACTTCCACCGACCGACATAGCCTGAGCCTTGACGACATCAGACTGTACCAGAAAGACTTCCTGCGCATCGCAGGTCTGTGTCAGGACACTGCTCAGAGCTACACGTTCGGGTGTGGCCATGAACTGGACGAGGACGGCCTCTACTGCAGCAGCTGCCTGGCTCAGCAGTGCGTCAACATCCAGGATGCTTTTCCAGTCAAAAGAACCAGCAAGTACTTTTCTCTGGACCTCACTCACGACGAGGTCCCAGAGTTTGTAGTGTAAGCCCCACCTGTGGGCAGCCCTGCGGGCGGCTGCTGTCTGCTGGGGGCCGTGGAGTCCGAGGTTCTTTACATACGATGTGTGCCATATTTTTTTCACCCCCAAAACTTAGCTCTTTCTTTATAATATCCGTGATGGAAACAAAAGCCTTGGGACAATGCACTTTAAGTATTATGCAGAGGTAGAAGATACCCAGACTGTAAAAGGGAGACAAGTGCCCGATGTTTATTGACCCTTTGGAAGGAAGGATGCTTTAGAGCTTACCCAGCTTCCAGACTGTTAAGGTTGTGGTGTGTGTGTGTTCATCTCTTGTTTTCTAGTTCAAATCATGTTTATCACATGAAAGATGTCTGGCTTCTCTGTTTGCTTGTGAGGTGTTTTTTTTTTTTTTTTTTTTTTTAGCCACTCCCGCATGGGGCGCTTACGGTTTGGGGGAGGACGGAGGGAAGCTCTCTCTTCTTTTATGGAGAAGCATTCTCAGTACATAGCCATTGCTGCCTCACAGAGGTTGGCCCAAAATGAACACTGCTGAAGTGATGGGAGTCTGTGGTTCTAGCCAAAGATGAGTACGTAATGGAAGCGCTACTCAGAGTCCAGGAGACGTGGGCCGGGATTCCTCCACACCCGGACAGTGCCACATCCGCTGTTCTGTTCTTCCAGGAAGCTCTGAGATTCACTTGTGTTCATGACATGGTGCGTTTTGTGGAGTTGACAAAGCTGGTATATGTTGAAAACAATGGAAATGTCTTAGAAAAAGTTTGCTGGTGTTTTCTTTGTTGTTTTTTTAATGCTGGCAAACAGATGGTAATGCTGGTTTCTGCTTTAAAAAGATACCCTAACTGTATGTATATGTTATACATATATAGATACATGGGACTATGTGTGTTTATATGTGTTTAAAGCTTAATGACTTCATCTGGACTTCCATGTATGTCTTACATACATCAGATTCCTTGTTTAATGTTGAGGACACGTTGTTGAAAGAATAGCCAGACAATCAGTTGATAAATGTAGAGTTCAGAGCGACTTTCCTTGTGTGCCTTTGGCCAAGATCCTCAACCCTGATTGCATACTAAGACATATCTGGGGAGCTTTTAAAACGAGCCTGGGTCCTACCCCAGGCCAATTTAAATCAGTCTCTTGGGGGTGGGGCCCAGGTGAAATTATCCTTTCTTATAAAGCTTACCAGGTAGAAATAATGCACAGTAGGATTAGAGCCCACTGATCCAAGAGTGTCTTTTTATTAATTTTGAAATAAAAGTATACAGAGGATATTAGTGATTGTGGATGGGCCATTTTTAAGACAAGTTACTTCCCTGCTGCTGTTACAATGTGTAATGAAACCAAGCCAGGAGAATGAGTTTATCAACTTGATATGCAGTGAAAATGTTGCTCCCACTTCAGGAGAGAACCTCATAGCACAATGTCTTTCTAGGGGATGTTTTTAATGATTTAGTTAGTATTTTACAGCATTTGTTTACCATATTTTGATACTCCATTTTTGCTATCTGCCAGGTTTTATTAAAAAAAAAACTATGTATTATTTTCTAAAGAAACTCATATTTTTGTACAAAATTATGTTTTCAAGTAATGAAGAAATAGATTTAGGGTACGGCAGAACATGAGCAGTGTTCCCTGTGGATGGGAGTCAGTGTTACAGAATCAGGGGGGCCACAATCCTGCCCCCCCCAGATGCCCTCCTGTACAGGCACAGCTTCAACAGAATCTCACCCACCAACTCTTCACCTGACCCTTTCAAGAGAAGAAAAAAAAAAGTCCTGTGATCATGACATTGTTTTGCTTTTGTCTAATGCTTTTAGAAGAACCAAAGTTTCTGATACCAGAATGTATCTCAGTCTCCTTGCGGAAGGATGAACGTTGAAGGGATGACCTAGTGACTTCTTTTGCTTACGAATCATTACATAATCTCACCATTTTTTTTATAGACCCTTCGGGGCCAGACCCTTCGGGGCCAGACCCTGGTGAAGTTTGTACCCTCGAGAGCCCAGATTGCCATGCTGTGTGTTCCCACAGCCCTCAGCCTTGCTTGCAGATACAAAGATAAAAAGGTCGCTTCATTGAACAGGTCATGCTCTGCACCTTTTCCCCTCTCTGCTCCAGAATCCAGTCTCCAGGGTTTTGCCTGTGGAGTTGCTTTTCATTCACTCTCCTTTGGTTGGATTTGGGAATAGCCTTACGGATTTTTTTCAAAGATGAAAAACCTGCTAGGGAACATTTTTCACTTTCTGATGATCCGTGGTAGAATCGTACACAGATATGTTTGTGAAAATCCACTTTGAATAATTGACATTTTTGTATTGGGGAAATTGTTTTTAAGAATAAAGGAAAAGAAAAGTGTACAGCTGTTACTCTGCTGCATTTGTTAACATGTCCGTTGCTGGTAATATACCAATTTGGTGTCTGTCACCTTCCCACATCATCTGCGTTTGTGTTCGCAACAGTGAGCTTTATATCTAAGTAAGCTGTAAATAATCCTTTCTGTGAAAGGATCGTCATGATGGGTTGATATTGAAAGTATGTTTAAAAAAAAAAAACTTGCATTATTTTGTAATTATTTCTTATAGGTGTTTCATGGTAAGATCAGCAGTCAATAAAGTTAACTTTTGGCCTTTCAGGTGTCTTTTCATATTAGACTTCTCAGTTAAGCAAGAACTGGGAAGGTGTGCCTGTGTGTTTTCTTTGTGTTCTCCTGTCCCGTAATAGAGGATATTTAAGGCAACCTTGTGCTGATGGTGGTCAGAGATGTTGCCGAGTTCTGCCATGTGCCAGGCCTGTGTCACCCAGATTAGGACTGCTCGTGGTAATCCTCACGTCCGTGAGGCGGTGATTCCTACCTGCTAGGATGAACCAAGGTGTCAAGGGCTTTTTCAAATAGTTACACACTGCTGTTTCATCAGAGGCTAAAAGGACTAGCTTTTATATTATGTATTGTGTGTACATGTGGGCACATGCCACGGTACCTGTGTAGAGGTCACATGACAGCCCACAGGGATTTATTCTTCCATCATGTGAGTTCTGGGAACTCAGCAAGGAAGTACCTTTATCCACTAAGCCGTCTCCCTGGCTCTAAAAGGGCTACTTTAAAAAAAAAAATTAATTAAAGCAATAACTTTAACTTAAACATTGAAAACTATGAGTTGTTTTTAAGTGGTTGCATTTACAAGGCTGAATGGTAAAGGCCCCGAGGCATAAAGGGAAGGAGCCAAGAGTTGCATCTAGAGATGATCTCTGCAAAGCCTAGCTCACCATCAAAGACAAGACCATACCCCTCTGCTCCGGTTTTCTTGGCTACAAAGTGACAGTAATAATTCAAAGGACTGTCTGAGAAATTAAATAAGGGAATAAGATACCCTGGTGAGTAGGGTGAGACACAAGTTTTCAGAACTTCAAACAGGCATTTAACTCTTAGGGAATAGAGCCATTGAGAAGCCTAGAATTCAAAAACAAGAGGTGGGGTGGGTGGGGGAGTGTGTATATGTGTGTAACACTGAGGTTTGCAGTTAGGGCCCCAAGCATGCTAGCAAGCACTGAGCTACATACCAGGTTATCTTTGCTTATGTGTGATGTGTCTGTGTGTGTGCACAAATACACATGTAGGCCCAGAGTTAATGTTGACTGTCTTCCTTCATCTCTCTCCACTTTATTGAGACAGGCCTCATGCTGAACCTGGAATTCACTAACCTCAGCTGGTCGAGCTAGCCAGACTGCCTAGTCCCTACCTCTGCCTCCCAAGTGCTGGGGTTACAGGTGACCGCCATACCTGCCCAGCATGTATGTGGCTTCTGGGAATCCAAAGTCCAGTCCTTGTGTTTGCAAAGCAAGTGCTTTGTCCACTGAGCCACCTCCCTAGTCTTTTTATTTTTTATTTTTTCTGGGCAGGATCTCACTAAGTTGCTAAGGCTGCCCTTAAACTCATGATCCTCCTGTCTCAGCCTATTGAATGAGTTATAGGCCTGTATCATCAGGCCTAGCTAGAACTAGAACACTCTAGTGGGGTGTTATTCATGAACGTTGCAGAGAACACAGTAAACTGAAGTAAGTTTCCTGTGGAATAATCCTTCTGTACATTGTGTGAATATATGTCGCTATGATTGGTTTAATAAACAAGCTGACTGTAAAGTTAGGCGGGAAAACCAAACTCAGAATATGGGATGAGGAAGGGCAGAGTCAGGGTCACCAGCCAGACAGCTGGACTCACAAAATGGAATAGAGGTAAAAGCTATGAGCCTCGGTGCTGCACATAGATTAATAGAAATGGGTTAAGTTATAAGATCTAGTTAGCAACAAGCCTGAGCTATTGGCCAAGTGCAGCTAGAGTTTTCCTGCCTGGCCCACAGTCAGGACAAATCTCTTTCACCCGCCAGTCCCACAGCTGCTCAGACCCAACCAAGTAAACACAGACTTATATTGCTTACAAACTGTATGGCCGTGGCAGGCTTCTTGCTAACTGTTCTTATATCTTAAATTAATCCATTTCCATAAATCTATACCTT